GCAAAAAATGTATAATTTAAAATTTCATTAGATTTATGTAGAATTTCTTTGTTCGTGACTTTGCATTCCATGCAGGGCATTTTGGTTGCCAATCTCATTGGTATTAAGGGAGTTTTTTGTTTGTATGTTTGTTTCTCTTTAATAAAATATCCAGGAAAGTACCTATTAGTTAGATCTAAACCTTTTAACTTCTCAACTTTCAGAAATGAGAGTGTCAGTGAGTCACATTGGCTTCAGTTTACAACTGTGCTTTCCCCAACTCTTTGCTCCAGATCAGTAGGATTGAATACATCCACTCTAAGAACTTCATCCACAGAGATGTGAAACCCGATAACTTCTTGATGGGGCTCGGGAAGAAGGGCAATCTGGTTTACATCATCGACTTTGGTCTGGCCAAAAAATACAGAGACGCCCGAACGCACCAGCACATCCCTTACCGTGAGAATAAGAACCTCACTGGTACGGCCCGCTACGCCTCCATCAACACCCATCTCGGCATCGGTAAGGCGGCTCAAACATGTGCGGAAGGGGTCTCCGTTTCTTTTTCCTTCTCCTTATCTTATCTTATCATCATGTTCTTTTCCCCTTCTCCACAGAGCAGTCGAGAAGGGACGACCTGGAGTCTCTGGGCTATGTTCTCATGTACTTCAACCTGGGCTCTCTACCATGGCAGGGGCTCAAGGCTGCCACCAAGAGGCAGAAATATGAACGTATCAGTGAGAAGAAAATGTCCACCCCCATTGAGACCCTCTGCAAAGGATACCCTAGTGAGTAAAGAAAATGTGTTGGAAGTTGGAAGTAGACATGGTAGGGGATTGATTCTTTGAATAAAAGCACGTGCTCTCTTGTTTTTGTGTCTCCCAGCTGAGTTTTCGACCTACTTGATCTATTGCCGCTCCTTACGGTTCGACGACAGGCCAGATTACTCATATCTGAGGCAGCTCTTCAGGAACCTGTTCCACAGACAGGGCTTCTCCTATGACTATGTCTTTGACTGGAACATGCTGAAGTTTGTGAGTGGCCCGCTCTTTTCCCCAAGTCCTTGAAAAGCCGTTTCTCCTTTTAAGCATCGCCCCGTTCATTTGGGCTCTGTTTTTCAGGGGGCCGGTAGGACAGCAGATGATAGGGAGAGGGAGAAGAAGGAAGGAAAAGAAGGGGAAGAACGAGCCGGTGGGGGTCAGAGGGGAGCCGGAGGCCGAGCTCCCCCGCCTGGGCCCAATCCCTCGGCGGCCAACAGAGTCCGGAACGAGGTGGACCCCGCTTCCTCCAACCAGGCCACGCGTGGCGTCCAGCAGTCAGGTCAGGCAGCTTTTTTCAGAAATGACAAAAACGTAAAAATAACCACAACAAAGGCCCTCACCTCAAAGCTCCGGGTGTGCGCAGGTAACCGCTCGCCTCAGGCGGGGAGGGCAGAGAGGGCCGAGCGAGAACGGAAGGTGGCCATGAGGCTTCACCGCGGGGCCCCCGCCAACGTCTCCTCCTCTGACCTCACCGCCCGCCTGGACCAGTCGCGCATCACCGCGTCGCAGGTAGCGAGGGCTGAGATTCCGCACGCCTTCCATGAGCCAGTGTCCTCTTCGTGAGGAAATTCTATACGCGGACATGCCAACGCGACAAATGGAGACCGTGAACGGGGAGAACACTATCTGGACATCGTCCTTGTGTGTCAGCATTTTCCTCAAAGAATTTATGACACCCGTCCATAAATAACAACAGATCGATCTCTTTTATATGCGGCGTTATTTGGCCTTTAAGGTTTGGTACGATCTAAACTCAGCCTTGGGTATTCTTCTAAGCCAGTCTCTTAAGGATTTTACATGAATGGACTTTTGATGAAGTACATTGACAGCTTCCATGTCAATATAATCTAATTAAATAATTAAATACATGACTTTTGTTATGCAGCTGCCTCTGAATGGGGAAGGGAGTAAAATGACATATGGCCTTCTGTTCCCTGGTGTAAAACTTTAAACAGTATATATGTTTGACATTAGCACCTTTTTCTTCCCATGTGCAGGTCAGTGTGCCGTTTGAACATCTGGCAAAGTGACTTTCTCCTCACTGGCCTGCAGGTCAGTGGCAGGTATGGACACACACCGACACACACGCATTTACTCATGCTTTCCTTAAACAACTTTACAGCTTTTGGGCAAAGGTCAAAGTTTTCAGATTAATTTTTTTTCTTGCCATCGCAACTACAATTGACTGTAGTTTAAATATAGAAGCAATGAAAAAAAAACCCAAAAAACAGTAAAAGTTCATTTTTAGAAAAATAAATATAAAAAGTTAAATGAAAATATTTGCGTCGCAACAATATCAACAACTGAAGTTTTACTCTTTTGTTCATATTTTTTGTGTTGATTTTTTTAAAAATGGCTGCTGTGTATGTTTTTTCTTTTTTTCTTTCTTTCTTTTTTTATAAATGAGTCATTTCAGTGAAACCATTTTGGACATCTGATTGAGACGCACAAGCTTTTATGACATGAAAGCTGTCCCAGCAAATTGGTGGACTCCATGTAGCTTTGAGCAAGGAAACCATTTGTCCGCATGATTAGACTAGAACAGGACACCAAATGCTACAGTCCCCAAAGAAACATATTACCTTAAATCCTGGCACATGGGACTTATCTCACCATGACAACTGGTCGAAGTTTCCGATACTGATGATAAGGATTTGAGATTTTACAGACAAAGAAAAGAAATGATAATTGTTGTCAACTATTTCAATCCAGTATGGTCCCACAAATGTTAACTGACTAAAAAAGGAACATGCATTTGTCATTTGCTCTTCATTAGAGTTTTGTTAAAGACTTACTCCTGAACTAATTTCACTGATTAACTAAACCGATTCATCATTCTCTTCCATGTTGTGTCTCTCATCGTTCAGCAAACGAAAGGGCATAAAATGCCCTTATTTTTCCAATGGATGAATGAAAGCACGAGTTAGTGAAAGAGGAGGAAGAAGAGCAAGAAGAGGGAGGCAGCATGAAACGGGGGATGGGGGCTAGCGTGTTTCCTCTGCCGTGTGAGCATGCCCACTGTTAAAGTTTGCTGAGATGAAGGAAAACTGGTGAGACGAACAAAACTCAAGACCGGAACCGTGTGGCACCGCTTTTCAGATGGTAGCTGACGGAGGGGAGGTGAAAGCCCGGAAAGGCCTCGCCCCTTTTTCACTCAAACTCACCTTGACATCAACTCAGAGACTCAAAAGATACCAAAAGATTGACAAGTTATTTTAAAAAATTAAAAAAATTAAGCAGAGAAAATACATCAACATGCACAAAAAGGACTGAAGAGATACAGCTTGGTTTATAGATGTGATAAATAAAAGAAAATATATCAGTTTGCTAATAATTGAGAGCCACATCTGCTGCTTCTGGTGTTTCTCACTGTAAACAAATATATATATATATATATACTGCTCTGCCTGCACACACGAAAGTAAGGTGTATTTGGGCATTTCTTTAAAGAGACAAGGGAAAGGTGCAATACTGACCAATGAGAGGATGAGAGGGAGAGAGTCTGGAGTGAATTCATGGATGGGAGTGAAGCTGCTTTCTGTCGGTAAACTTGTCCGTCTGTGTTGTCGTCTTCAGTGTTTGTTTTGCCTTCAACTTTTCTTTAGGAATGGAGGAGGAGGGAAAGTTGATGAATTACAAATGTACCCCCAGTTATTAGAAAAAAGAGGTCCCTATTTTTTTAGTGCTATGTGATAAGAGGAAGGATGGCACAGAAGACAGGAGCGATATGATAAAGCCTCAGACCAGCTTGCAACTCCAGATTTTAAAAGACTCAAGAAGGTTAGATCTTGGAAGTGAGCAAGTGTGATTATATGCTTCTAAGTTTGTTCTTATTATTTGCTTTGTATTTTGTTTTTCATTTTGTATCACATGTAAATGTGTAGATATCTTTTGCCATAGTGAGACAGATTAACTAAAAGTGAGGCTGGAAAGAAGGGTACAATTTACCTCCTGACATCTATGGGGCAATCATAAAACCTTTAGAGTCTACCAAGAGTTTTTATTGTCACTCTGGTGGGCAATGACAAGAGAGGTTCTTGTAAATATGCTGAGGAGGACTTACTGGAAGAGATTAGGTTTTGACTCACGGTGGTCAGGATGGATGGATAGATGTCGAACAGAAAGTGACTGATGTCCTGTCCATTTCTTTACCATGCTTCAACTTTATTACTATTATATTTGTGTATATTTTCTGATTCAATAAAGATATTTGCAGCCTAAACAAACTTCTCTTCATTTGTTTGACTTGATACCAATAAAACTGACTGGTAATATGTATTATTCAACAATGAACACATGATTTAAACTGATATTTTTCTTAGAATATAGATTTTTCATCTTTTACATTTGGATCTGAATGTTTTTCATAACCCGCAGACACTTTTTCTGAGCTTGGAGTCATTAAAGGGATGAATAATCACATTTTGAGTTTCTCTATTGTTTTAAAACATAAGAGAGATGTCAATCTACCAGACACGTCTTTATACAAATTAAACTAAAGAATAAAAAAAGTAAATTTATTTTGCGTTTATATGTCTATATCAATAATCCAGTTATCTTGGTCTGTCAAGGGTTATAGTATTTATGCCACACGCCACAACTACACTTGTATGACAACATTTAATATTAAGAAAACCTCATAGAGGTGGTTTCTGCTGTACTATAAGGTATCTTTACAAGTGAGACATTTGTAAATACACCCCAAAGGTGCGTTTTTTCCTTGTATACACAGAAACACTTAAAGTTGGGACCGGAAGTATTTAGCAAATAACGCACCTTTCGCTGAGTGCGTGGGAACCTAATTGCATATCACCGTCATATCTCGCCTCTCTTGGTCCCAGAATAAAACTGCGCAAACTCCCGTACTGGGACATAAACCCCGCCCCTTTCCGGGTAAACGATGTCTGCCACTGTGCAATTGGCTGAGCCGGCTCGTCCTTGTGAAGTGGGCGGAGCTGAAGAGATCTGGTATTAATCCGACAGGGATTGGTTTTACAGCGGAGCAGTGAACGAGCGGCGAAGAAAAACCGTTTAAACTGCCCTAACTCCTGAAACGCAAGCTTCTGGCGTTGCAACTGCAAAAAGGGAGACCGAAAAGGATAGGAAAGAAGTTATGAAACACGAACGTCAAACTTAAGCAGTTAGTTTCTGAGGGGGACGCGCCGACGGTTGACGGGGCAGTCCGCTCGGGGAGTCAACATGGATGTCCTGGGGGCAACGGGGCGCCTTTGAGGAGGAATTAAGGCCGTTTCTAGGTTATTCCTATCGAAGAGCAAGTCCAGCGTTATCTGAGTGGGCTTTTAAAGGACAAACCGATTCACCAGGTGAGTGTCGACGCTAAAGTCAACCTGAAACCCAACTGCCACTTATTTTTCCTAAAGAAAAGAGTGTCAACGTTTCACCCCAACGACTCAAGTTCACCAATGAATTTGAAAGCCGACTGGCTTTGCTACGGGACGTTAGCTTTTCGAACTTGTTTGACCATTCAACCCCAGGAAGCTGCATTATTTGTCGCTGTATGATAACAAAAAAAAAAATCAAAGTTCAGTGTTTCGTTTCTAACGGCTGTCAGAAAAATGAATCAGTGTCGTCGAAAAGAGGGACCAGCCAGCCTGGCCACCAAAAATTTTTACTACTCGGCAGAACTTTTAGTGCCTCTTTCCATCTGCCACTTTATTCCTGACCCCCGGGGGGCTCAGCAATATATTATTCCAGCAAGCGTGCCCGCGCGCGCGCTCGCACGTGAGGCTGCCCAGAGTGACCCTTTTTTGCATTCCAAATGAAACCCACAGATGTCCTTTTGCCGCTGTGCCGCATCATTCCACTGACGGCGGCATTGTGCGTGCGGCTGCTGATGCCCTCACTTCTTCTTGTTGACATGTGGATGTGCTGAGCCCCCGCAAACTAACACAAATGACCTGCTGCCTCTCTTATTCAGAGGTGTACGCACATACAGATTCACTTGCATTTTAATGTGAACGCTTCACATTGAATTTACTAGATTTTTAACTGTTTTTTGTGTGTGTGTGTGTGTGTGGGAAAACAGGTTGGTTTTTAAAGAAAATCCAGGGTGGCCTGTGTGTGTGTGCAAATGGGGTGATGTGTCATTATGTCACAGTGTAATTGTCCTGTTTTTTCTGTCTGTTTTATGACTTTGTGGTTGCCCTGCGATCCTGGAATGTCCCGAATTAAAGGGTACAGTGTGCCCTTCCCAATCAGTCCCCTGCTCCTGATATTTATCTCCTCTAAAATGATTGATATGCACTCTACGCTCCTCTCTGACTAAGATCTGGGTCTTTATCTAGCCGATTCTTGCCTTGCCGTTTCATTTCCGCATGCAAGAACAAACACAGCACCGAGGACTGGGCTGAATAACTACCATTCCAATGACAGTGGCCCAAAGGCAATCTGAGTGATCTTGAAACTCATTCAAATCAATACCATATACCTCTGTGCAAACAGCAGAGCCACGTACAGTGTTCTTTACCCCGGTTTGTTTACTCTGTGTCTTCCTGTCTGACTTTTTACTGATGACACAGAGCCTGGGATCCATATTCCAGGTTGATCATTTGTTTTTTGGAATGAGAGTTTATGCTGGGTTGGAATGTTGTTAATGTATAAAAAGAAAGCAAGTGGCCAATAAATGCACGCACACACTAGTAGTAATATGTGTTGCGGTCTCCTGCACTGTGTGTGTGTCATTTCCAGATGTTAAGGCTGTGGAGGAGAGACGTGCCACTCTCAGAGAGGCTTGGAAAAGATTCTCCTCTCGTTGGGGCCCCAGGCCCTCCATCCACTCCCACTGCGATGGGGCCCAACATATCATGGCTCCCTGAAGCCCCGCTTCTGGGCCCGGAGCAGCCGTTGTTCCTGATGACTCCAGCAGCGCAAGCTGTGTCCGGCTTCTTTGTCTGGACTGCGCTCATTCTCACCTGCCATCAGGTAAAGGCTTTCAAACAGAATCGACAAAAACACGGCTTTTGTTTTTTGAAATGAAAATTTTTTTCATTTCTATACATGTCTGAAGATGTTGAGGTTGAGGTTTGAACAAGCAGACTGCTTTTGTGTGTGCTTTCGGAGAACGCATGTAGTTGTGTGTACTTTTATAGATGACTTAGGTGCCAATACAAGTGAGAAGGCCAGAGTTCGCTTGGCAACATCCCTTAGTGGGTGTTTGCGGTACAGGGCTTCAGAACAGAAACGCACACAAAAGGGAAACTTGTGGGTAGATGAGTGAGGCCGGATTTTCACAGATTACTGTTCATTTGTGTCAGGATTGATTTTAAAGGTCGGGGATGATGGCAAACACAAAGACGTTAATAATACATGATCTAGCTGGTTTTATTAACCATCCTAGTCCTGTTTTATCCTCCACACCAGGTTAGTTTGCACTCTTACTGTCGTCTCTCTAGGAACACTGAAACAGCTTTTCTTGCTTGTGACACATTCTACATCCATCCTGCCTTATTAGAAAACTGCCGACCTGAGTTTTAGTGTTATCTGTCACTCAGATTTGTCACAGTTTTATTTTTTTATTTATCACTGTTTCAAATGTCTCTTCTTTGTGTCCCAGATCTACATGCACCTACGTTTCTACAGCTCACCCAGGGAGCAGCGTCACATCGTGCGGATCCTCTTCATCGTTCCCATCTATGCTTTCGACTCCTGGCTCAGCCTGCTCTTCTTCACCAATGACCAGTACTACGTTTACTTTGATACAGTCAGAGACTGTTACGAGGGTGAGGATGTGTTTAGTTTTTTTACCAACTGTATCCGTATTTGAATGTTGTTAATCAATGCCAACCCTTCTTCTATGTCATATATAGACAACTTGCTCATATTTTCCTCTCAATCTCCTATGGAACAGCCTGGTGGTATCAGAACATGCTGGTATCCAGGTTATAAATCTTTTACACTGAATACAGTAGATCTGAACATCCACTTCTAAATCAGGAATCTGGTTCGGAGGCCGTGATTGTGTTGATATTTTTAAAGAAACCTTAGGTAGACATCTTGGGCTCTGTGTGAACTCAATAGGTGGTGTGAACTTAACAAAAGCTGTCTGATGCTTGAATCTCTGACTACTGATGCTTTGACATGCCTGAAGGCGGTGACAGACAGCCGTCCAACCTCCTCTCCTCATTTCTGTCAGTCAGTGAGTCATCATGATTAGGACAGAAATAGTCGGATAACCATGACACCCGATGTCATGTCCCGTGTTGTCAAACAGACGATGTGCCATTCCCTTTGAAAGTGGACTGGTGACACTCTAAATATGGACCTGCTCCTGAGGAGGAAGCGCTGTGAATAATGTGGTCGTCACACGGCTCCCTCATACAGATGAATCACTTCCTGTTTCTTTTTCCTCCTCTTCTCTGTTGTTGTGGTTCTTCTTCTGCACTTTCATACTTCTGTGTCTTGGTCTCATCCCTCCGTCTCTCCTGTCCCCCCTCCTTCCTGTTTGCCCTCATCTTCTCACAGTACTGCAGGGCCAGATCCTTCCCTCAGCAACCTGTTGCATGGCAACCACACACGCAAATCTTCCTCATCAGCCATACAGGCTGCATTAGATAATGAGCTCCTCTCGACCAAACTCGCAGGAAAGTTCCCAGTCTCATAGTATGTAGGCCTACTGTATCACCGTGGCAACAGCGCCACAGACGGGCGTCCTTGGGGAAGAGCAAACAAGCCTAATGTTAAACAGCAGATTAAGCAGGTCTCATCTCTCGGCTCAGGAGGCATGTTTTTTTTTTTTCAGGACTTTTAGACAGAAAAAAGGCATGTGTGGTATTTTCCAGCTGCAGCCCCATGTGACGGGCTCCTGATGTCACACAGTGGGTGGTTACTGTGATGAGTATGTAGGCTGATGAGAAGAGAGGGAGATCAGGAGAATGTATGAAGTCGGCAGCAGAGCAGTGATATAACAACGATCACCGGAAGCAGAACACCTGACATCCACTTAAGCTCACAAAACACACACCCTCACGACTCAATTTGGTCATTCAGGTACACCCCCCCCTCCCCCTTCCACCCCCAAGATGTGTGTGAGCATACATGTTAACGCATGCAGAGGGATGAGAAGTTCCTCCGAGGTTAACCGGATTAGCCCGGTTGTTTTCATGGGCTTCTTGATAGTCATCTACCTCTCACTGTGGCAGCGAGATAATCCATCAGCCACAAGAGACTGGGGGGTATTACTGAGCCAGTGTGTTTTTTTCTGCAAGGCCCTGTGGGGAATTGTACCTGACCAGCTACTGAGGTTGTGTTAGCTCATAAAGCAAATATGTCATCAAATGTGATCAGTTGACCCTGTGAACCGGTTGAGCACACATATAAATAACACTGTTTTTCCCCGCAAAAGAAGTGAAAACGTTGGTCACAAAGTCTTTGGTCCACTGAATGAACTGCATGATTTACTCCTTTGTTGTTCAGTTCGATGTTTTACATCAAAATCCGCTTCTCATAGACGGAAGCTGCTTATCTGTCCTGTTTTTACAGCCGATTTTAATCTGATTACATAGAACAAATACTCTCTGATGTGCAATTTACAAAAATAATTCACACTGAGTCTCCTCCGACATTTGAACACGCCGCGTTTGGAACACTCAGTGATCTGAAATGGAATGAGTGATTGCTCTTTTCTGCTTATCTGGCTCCGTTTTGGGCTCGCCGTCAAACTGTCCTGAACAGAGCCAAAACAAATTCCATTTAAACAGTCAGGTTCCTGGATGCTGGTAGTTGGCATTGCACCACAAATAGCAGTATGATCCTCCTTAAAATATATCAAACGCTTTACATAAATGTTGTTCCTCTGACTCCAACCTAGTCTTTTCTCTCTGTGTTTCTCTGCAGCATTTGTAATTTACAACTTTCTGAGTCTATGCTATGAATATCTGGGAGGAGAGAGTGCCATCATGGCAGAGATCCGTGGAAAACCCATAGAGTAAGTTTCCAATTTGCCTTCCCAAAAGGTCATAGATGCATTGCAATTCAAAGCTGTTGTGTTGTTTGCCTTTTCCTTCTGAATCCTGATCTTCCTCAGTGTTTAATGAGAACAAATTCTCATATGATTTGAACCATGCAGGTCCAGCTGCATGTATGGTACCTGCTGTCTGAGAGGAAAGGCCTACTCCATCGGCTTCCTGAGGTTCTGTAAGCAGGCCACTCTGCAGTTCTGCGTGGTTAAGCCGCTCATGGCTATCATCACTGTCATCCTGCAGGCCAACGGCAAATACAAGGATGGAGATTTTAAGTGAGTTTTTCTTTTGTCTGTCTACGAAGTGACAATGACCAGGAATAACTTATCCACAAATTCCCCCTGACTGATTTCTCTGATCTCTTTTCACCCCAGTGTTGCCGGCGGATACTTGTACGTGACCATCGTCTACAACATCTCTGTCAGTCTGTCCCTGTACGCCCTCTTCCTCTTCTACTTCGCCACCAGGGAGCTGCTCAGCCCTTACAGCCCTATGCTCAAGTTCCTCATGGTCAAGTCGGTGATCTTCCTCTCCTTCTGGCAGGGTACACGGACTCCTCCCTATATTTCACTCGTGGAAAAGGCAGCAAGTAACGCTTACGGTGGTGTCACTAAGGCCTGTCTCTTCCTTTATGGACAGGACTGCTGCTGGCCATCCTAGAGAAATGCGGGGCCATTCCTCAGATCAACTCTCTGGAGATGTCTCTCGGCGAGGGCACGGTCGCCGCAGGCTACCAGAACTTCATCATTTGCGTGGAGATGTTTTTCGCCGCGCTGGCCCTCCGACACGCCTTCACGTACAGAGTCTACATGGACAAAAGTCTGGATTCACGAGGTGAGGAGCAGTGCATATCGAGAGAAAAAATCGGAAAAAGCACCTTCTCATATTCAAATACTCCAAAATGAATATGTGGATTTTTCTCTATTTCTGTTCCAATAAGTTTCTTTTCTCCTTCCTCCTTATTTTCTTCTTACCTTCTCCTTCTGTTATTCTATTGACATCACTTCCTGTGCTCTTCATTGGCCATTTTCTCTTTTTTTCCGGTTTGTATGGACCTGTCTTTATGTCTGTCTTTTCTCCTCTGCTGCACCATAAAGGACCCGTTCCTACATATGGAGAGTTTGGTAGGTCTAACACTGGCGACGGTTCCCATCGCTCCCTTTGTGTGTCATACATCAGCTGCTTTGTGTGGGATAAGCAGTTTACGGCCTTGTTTTTATTTATGTTTGTTATTCTGCCTGTCTCCTGTTCTCTCATTTTCCCTATTTCTACCCTCTGTGTATCACACCTGCTGCTCTTGTACTTATTCGTCTTCTTCTTCTTTCTCTTTCTCCCATTTACGCTTTTTGTCTTTGTTTTAAAACCCTCTAAATCACTCGTCTTCCTTTATCCCTTTTGTCTCTCTTGCACTAAATCCGTCTTCCGTCTCCACTGTCCTCTTTTCTCCCTCTTTGTCACCCCATTCTTTTACTCCTTTCTTTTTCTTCCATGCTTAAAACACCATAAATCCAGCCTCTGGTTTTACTCCCTCCTTTTCTTATCTTCTTACACTCTGACATGCCTTTAGTTGTCTTTCATTGCCAGTCCTCTTTCCTTTGGGGCCTGCTAACTCCTGTCTCCTCCTTCCGCTGCAGGCCGCTGCGCCCCGATGAAGAGCATATCCAGCAGCCTGAAGGAGACCATGAACCCAGGCGACATGGTCCAAGATGCCATCCACAATTTCTCCCCGGCCTACCAGCAGTACACCCAGCAGTCCACGCTGGAACAGGGGGCGCCGGCCCCCGTCTTCCGCACCCAAAAAATCATCGGCGTCCGCGGCGACACGGAGAAAACCCTCCTGCTCAGCTCAGACGATGAATTTTAGAGAAGAAAACATCTAAAGTCCGGCGCTTCCCTCCGCGCAGCTGAACCCGATTCAGACTGCGGTGAACGGTACCTTATCCGGCCGGTCCTCATCAGTGTGGGACTGATTAGAGTTGTGTGCTTGTTTGTTGTTTTTCTTTTCTCCTCCGGAGGCGCAGGCCTTCCCTGCATAAACATTTCTGCATCCACACTACCCAGATGTCTTATTGGGAGGGAGCACCCGGCGCCGATTTGGTGTTGACTTTGGAAAGTTTGTGAGTCACGCCCTTTGCGCGCTGTGAATCACACTTAAAAGGTTTTCCTGCCCGGATAGAGGTTTTTCCATTTTCAAATGTGTCAAAGCATTTTTTGTGTAGTTCTGTTCAGTGTTGTTCTCGCGGTCATAAAAGAATGGAAAACGCCCCGGTGCGTGTGGAGCCGCCCCGTCAGAAAGCCGGCTGAATCCGTGCTGTTATCGACACCTCACTGAGGAGAGGGCGGCAGAGCAGCTTATGGATGCCGCCGTCCACGGGGGGGGGGGGGGGGCCGAGCCGGCCGGGACTACGCACGTGTAATCAGGGCGGCGTTTGAACGGCGGGGATTAAAGCTTGGGCTGCTTTTCTCAGACAGTAAAACTCAGCGGGCCACAATCTAGGTTAAATAGATTGAAGAGGAAAAACGGCTCATGAATATAGGTTGAAGTTCAGTTTAGATGCAAACTTCACACAATTCTGTTCTGATTAAGCTGGGCAGCTCATGGCTCCGACTACCCTCTCTGCTCTGGTCGATACATTTATGTTTTTTCTTTGAAAAATCCCAACTTTAACTATTTTTCCTTTTACAATATATACCATTTTTTTCAGATCTCAATGGAAAAAAATGTAATATTCTTTTTTTACATATTTTTTTAAGGATGTTTTCACTCTGTCTGGGTTTGTTTAAAGTTCACCACAGACCAATGACTTTTTCTTTTCTTTTTCTTCCACTCATAACTGGAGCTCCTGAGTCATCTGAATGAGTCACCCTAAAAATGCCGAGCTGTTTACTTGGAGCCACTTTCACTGCTTTGCTGTAGCTCAGCGCAAACACCAGGGGGCCACGTGGTCAGCTTTCCAGCTCATCCACAAGCATGTGCCTCAAACTTGGTACAAGAAAATGCTCCTCCTTTGTTACATTTTGACGCTTTTTTTTCTGATAAAAAGGGTCTGCAGCCTGTTTTAGTCCTTTTTTGTGACGGTTGTTGCATTGTAAGTTCAATCAGAAGGCATGTGTAGTTTCTTTTTTGCCTAATTGTCCTTAACTTTGAATTTAAATGAAAAAATAAGACAGCGCGCCAGTTGAACCACACCTTGAATGCCATAAATCACTCATGAACTCTTTACTTCTACATCTTTACAGCAAAACTATTTTGTGACTGTTTAGGACTGAGAAAATGTTGTAGATTATTGTTAAGTATAAAGTTTTAAGTGCTATTTACTGGAGGAATAGTGGAGATGTGTTTTTAAAAATAGGCCATAAAGGCTGAACACAAGAGAGACCTTTTTTTTTTTTGCAAATAGATCTTGGTTTCTCGTCCTTTGTATAAGCTGCACACAATGCTATTTTAAGTCAAACAGATGAACAGAGGAAAAAATAAATATTTAGTCTATGTATTTAACTCCTCGTATTTGCTTTGATTCATGTTTTGGTCTTGCGTCACTGGTGTTCTTTAAAGATGTACTAATCATATAAACCGATGTTAGATTTTACAGAAGAACCGTATAAATCTGATAGAAAAAGAGCACCTTTGAGAGGTGGAGTCTCAGAAGTAAAGTTTTAATGCAGCATCCCAAACAGTTCCAATGGAATTGGGGTTGTAGGTGGTAGTGGCTTTTAAGTCTTTCTAAAGATTTTTATCATAACAGCTGGAACTGATGACGGAATTGCACAGTATTAGTCAAGAAATTGCCAACTGCTTGTTCAAACACGCTTAATTTAGAATGTTATCGATCTGTATTACTAATATTTTTCTTTAAATTTATTTATTAAATTATTTTCTTTTACTTAATATTTCATTTGAGCCCCCCCTTCTGCTCCTCAGTATAAAAGCCTAAATCAAATAGCTCACATGTGAACAAAGTGCACATTTCAGACTTTAAGACTGTTTTTTTTAACTCGTCTATTGCCTCAGCTGTGGGTTGGGGATTGTTATCTTCCTTCAGGATGGAGCGCTGTCCAATGAGTTCAGAGGTATTTACTGGAACTTGGCAGTTCAGATGTTTGCATTCACCTCAAAGTTCACTGTGCAGCTGTCATCAGCAGTTGCGTCATCCTTGACGATAAGTGTGCCCGTAAAACAGAGGATCTGCCCCTATTCTCCTCGCCTTGTTCTTGCAATCATCTCCATCTAATCTGTCCAGAAAATCCATTTTTAAATGTTCTTTCCTCAAGTTTGAAAAGAAAAAACTTTGTCAGGCTCTTCCTTGGCCTGACAGTGTCTTTGCGATTTCAGAGATAGCATTTGCATTTTATTCTTCTTAATCATCCACACAATTGAGGTAAGGGTTGACCTAATGGTTTTATTCCTGTTTGACAGCCACAGAACGGTCTGTATCGTATCCCTGCACTAATAAGGCAATTAAGCACTCCTGAGTGTTGCGGTTTTACTTTTAAATCAAAGACTGGCATTTGAATTATATTCAAATGGTTTGCTTGAGAGTTAGAGGAAGCTGTATGGAATAGCTCTCGCAGGCTGCCTGCAAAAATAATACAAAAAGCTTTGGAAACAAAGAGAACAGAATTAGTTTTTTCCTCTATAAACACAAACACAGGACTTTGGTTCTTTCTCTCTGCATCACCTGCTGTTGCAATGAGGTCTGCAAGCACCATCTTATGTACAATATGTACAACATTTATTATTAATATATAAAATAGGCAATGTACTTAAATTTTCACAATAGAAAAAATACAGGTAATAAATACAAAGACTGATTTTTGTTTTGCGGGTATTACAAAACATCCAGCACAATCTGACAGATGTGAGACGGTAAAATATTGTGAATAAATGCTTTGTCACAACAATATTCATATATAGCTAAATATATGCCTCATATTTAGGAGTTATTTGTTAACACAGGTATTGTGTTACAATGCCTACTCGAATATATAATATTGCTAGCACTATTCAGTGGCCTAAACTCCTTGAAATATAGGCCCGTTTGTGCCCAGACGAATCTTGACCAAAACAGACCAACGTCTAACGGAGGTCTTCAAGTGTATCTATCTCCATCTTTATTTACTCTCCCACCCCTCCAACCTTCCTTTTCCTACTTTCTTTGCCATCTAACTGCTCCTCTCACCTCCTTCCCATCACCATCTTTCTCTAACCATCTGTGTTTCCTCCGTCTCTCTGGATGTTCCCGCCAAAACCGACGCTGAAGCATCCTTAGAATTTCCACGCGAACGTACAAATCGTAGAAAAATAATGTCCCCCCTCCCGAGAGTCCACCATGACAAGCTGGCACAAACACGCACGCACGTGAAATAATCAAACGGCAACGCGGCCGTCGGCTTTGAATATTCCTATCCAGCTAATAATTAACATTTTGGAATCATCTTTGTCCACACGACACAATAATTAGACATGAGAATATCATCGGACTAGTCAAAAGTACTTTCGAAGACACGTACAACGTCACAGCACTCGTTAGCTTGTCATTTCATAATATCTACTTTTAAATACAAATAAAATATAGATCTCTTATAAACCTCGCTCAACAGTTTCGTCTCTCGGCGGCACGGACAAACAGGACAAAGGAAAAAACGTGAAACGGGAATGTGTGCGGGGGAGGCGCAGGGATGCGAACACGGGTTGTGAAAGGGGCTGAGTGAAAAAGAAAGTTGACAGCCATAATGAAGAAAGTGGTTTGTTATGAACGGGCAAAAAAAAAAAAAATGGGGCAACCTTCTATGTGAAGTGGACTGGTGAGAGAACGGCAACAACAGGTGGCACAGAGCCACCCCTGCTACACCTGTGTGGAGGTGTACCGTGGGAGGCTTTTTTTCCTGGACTTTTGGGGGCAAATTTAGGCTCTTCAAAAGTTCTAAACAAAAACAGCTGTTTCTGTTTCACTTGGCCTATGGGGTGTTTAAAGTCTTACAAAAGAACAGTCTGTCTGGACGTGTCGTGACACTGAAAAAATACTAACAAAAAAAGAACCGAGCTAAGAACGCCGTGCAGCCAGTCGTTTTTTTTTTTTAAACCTCAAATGTAGCAAAAATGCAAACGTGATGGAGCTGGAGGGCGCTGAACACATGCCTGCTCCTCCCTGGCATTTTGTCATTTATCGGGGACGGGGGGGCTGATGACTAAGCACTAAGCAAACTGGAGCCTCGTTCACATTTGACCATACACAACTCTGAAATTCTTGAAAAGAAAAAGCGCTTCTTCAGTCAAGCAAACTGCAGTGTGAAAAACAAAAAAACAAAACATAAAAAAAGAAAAAGAACATCTGTGTTAGTCAAGAGGACGAGCTCCACCCGCTCCGGGTCCTCGTACTGAAAATAGTAGCCAGGCTGTTGCTGCTTGTTGACTTTACACGCCCGACTGGGCTGAAATGAGTGATTCTGCAGAGCAAACCTTATTACAGCCGCTACGCGGACAAGTATTTAGTATTTTTTTTCTACCGAACACAGTCTCCCAGTTGTTTTGCCTTTGTGTGTTTAGCATATGTGTGCCTGCAGGTGTGTGGGTGTGTGTTTGCATTGCTGACTGTCTGTCTGTCCCCCCCTCCAGACCTCCTGCCCCCAGTCCAGTCCCCGCAGCTCCTCCTACGACGGCTCCTGTTCTCTCTGTGGCTGAGGCTGCGGCGGGCTCTTCACGATGGTGATGACCGAGGCGGTGTTGAGGCGCGGGGCGGTGGCCAGCAGGCTGCCCCCCCCGGCCTCCAGGCTCCTGGCGAACCTCTGCAGGGCGGCCAGCCGCGAGCCCAGGCCCTCCAGCTCCTTCCGCATGCCGGCGTTTTCGGCGCCCAGCCGCTCCACCTCCCGCTGGAGCTCCATCTTCTGCTGCTCCAGGGCCTCGCGCTGGGACACCCGCTTGACCCGGCAGCTGGCGGCGTAGCCCCGGTTTTTCAGGGTGCGCCGGCGCTGCTTCAGCTTCTGGATCTCCTCGCGGGAGAGCCCGCGTAGGTGGAGGTTCAGCTCCCGCACCGACAGGGACATGAGCTCGCTGTCTGACAGGAAGGGCACATTCTCACCGCACTCCTGCTTCACCTGAAGCCAGAGAGTGGGAAACGGGAGAAAAGGAAAGGGAGGGGGGGGGGGGGGGAAGAAGGAGTGAATGTCCTTTTCAAAAAGAAAACAAGTACACAGAAGACCGCCGAACATTCTTTTCTGCACTGCTGTTTTAAAATAGCCCGAGGCCAAAATGATGACTCACTCTTCTTGAGAAAAGCAACATTGACGTTTTTACCTTCAGAGCTTTGCTGTTTCTCTCCGTCGTCATGATCCAACCGTCTTCTGTTCTTTTATTTCCTTTCCTTTTTCCCCCCAGAGCACCAGTAAGAACAAATATAGACACTCTGGGAAGAACAGAAACAGGATTAGAAAGAAAAAAAAAAAACAGAGGGGTACGTCCTCACATGTGACTTCAGCCATTGTGTATTTTTGATCCATTCCTGGCCTGACATTTACCACCCGCTCACAAGACAGCCAGTCATGCAGGATAAAGAGAAAGAAGAACCCACAGATCTGTCATGCTTCTCCAAATGCACTCTCTCATTAAACCCGGTGGTTTTGATACTTGAGGAAGGGGAGGTTTTGAAAATGACATGCTCTTTTTCAGTGCGTTAGCTCAAAGAGGCGAGGAGGAAGTTATCATGTGTCTGCCCTTTGGTTGCTCAAAAGCAGGTGTCCCAACCCGTCCCCACAACACTTCCTCTTGTGAACACAGCACCAACGGTTCAAAGTTGTCACAGCCAAAAAAGTATCAGCACGACCAAGTGTTTAAAGTAGCGCATTTTTTCAAACTGTTAAAAATCAAGAGTCGTAACAACTTGCTTACGCAACGTAACGGCATTTAGAAACATTCCCACATTCTTCTTGCTGAGGCTTCTCATTCACAGATTTCACATTGGAACTTCCTGCTCGGCTTTTCGGGTCTGCTCACAGATTCGGCTTTGGGGGATGAAGGTAACTCCCGAGTAGGCTGAATTGAACAGATTTTTATTTCCCCATTTGCTGTTTGTTTTTTTAATTACTTTGGACTATACATTATGGGAAGTAATTCCCCCTTCATTTTTAACAGAGGCCAAAACAAATGGGGAGGGGGCCACACAGCATGCTGATGAGGCAGTAAACACTGTTTGTCCTTTTTTTTTTTTTAAGATCAATGCTGAAACTAAGATCAACAAATGTGACATTGAGATCATAAAAACCACAGGGTGCTTTCCCATGTTGTGCTCAACTTTTTTCTGAAATGCAGGACTTTCTCTAGAGTGTGAGTAAAAGGTCAAAGCCCTCTGTGGTCCAGATGTACAAAGGAAGTATGTCACATTATTCTGAATAGATTTTTTAAATACTTTTGCAGCTTTTTATTGGGAAGCAGGCTTATGAAGAGTGAAGTGTTTCTCATTTGGGTGTTTGCTTCCAAAGAATTGCTTCCAAAGAATTGCCGTGATATTTTCCTCTTTAGGCATCAGAACCCTGAGGGAGTGGATAGCATTTTGTTTACAGAGCACATTCCAATTTGTTAGTTCCTCGAACAAGGTTTGAAAAGGTTGGACCAGGTTAAGCTCTAAAAAAAATCCTACCTGCACAAAATCTGCACCTTTAACCTTAGTGTTCCTAAGGATAGGCATGTGGACAGATTGAGGTATGTCATCACAAGCCTTTTTATTTCCTCTTGTCATTTTGCATGCGTTTTAATTTCGTTGTATCTTTTTTATATCTCATAAGTCGGCATTTGTTTAGAATTTAAAGCCATTCCGAACCTCTCTGTCGCCCCGTGGGTCATTTGAAATGTAAGTGTAGCCGTCTTGCTTCATTTGTGTACATTCCTACTTCATCTCGGCGTCTTGGTTACCAAAGCCAAAAGGAATTCCTCCGCATCAAAGTCCCCAGTTAGCCAACAATAAACTGCATTTCCCGAAATGCGTCGGAAATCAGAGGTTGCAGCAACAGCGGTTGTCCAACCAGCCGGCGGACTCCGGCTGTAAACCGATGAGACCGCCGTTTCGTAAAGTCATGGTGATTCAGCAATAAACCCTTTTCTCAGCTCCACCAACACTGACTCCCAGTTTTAAAAAAATAATCCAGGGAAACCAGCGGTGACCGCGACTTTCTAGCCCAAACAACACAGGGCATCCAAGTTGGAGCTTTTCTAAAAATACCACTCCAGAACGGTTAAGTAACGCTGTCGAAGTGAAAAGCAACAAGTGAGCGAAGCAAAGCTAACAGTGAGCTATAACACGATTAAGCTCCTAAATATATACTAATTTTAGCATAAAATGGCGAAGTCCCATATAATGACCAAACTCAACTGCTGAAGTACGAATGTATTTACTTAGTGACATCTTGAATCTAACCATCTCCTTATACGGAGGGTAGCTGACCAGCTTGGGGTATAGGCGTCTCAGCTATAGTAAACAGCCATCACGAGTGCCCCCGACATCAAATTTGACTTTAAATAAACCACTGAGATTATGTTGCTACAAACCAGTAACATCCGAAAGTGACAATCCTCTTTCGCTTTGAAGCAGTATAAGCTCGTATACATAATTATGAAGCGTGGCGAATTTATTCGCATTATTTTTACCAGGCTAGTTGTGTTAGCATTTAGCATCAACAGCTTGAGACGAGCTAAAGGGGATTAAAGCAAACAGCTGCCTGCCCTTGGTAGCGAGTTGGGCGACGGATTTCCATTTTTCAAACGCCCGACTGTTGTCACTGAATTTAAACATAACACTTTAAAGTTTGATAGTTGGTTAAAATATGTAACTTACCAGCTGGGTCGACGCGACTGTGGCGACTAAATGTCAGTCCGCCTTTTCCCGGAATTACTCTGCTGTTCTCTGAGGTTGGATTCTTTCATTCATAAAAAAAAAAAAAAAAAAACAAGCGACAATGACGTAAGGCTTAAAGAATGAAGGCGGAGCCATCTCCGCCCCCGCGGTTTACTCCAGGAGGATGTAAACAAGGAATCCCTGAATCCCAGAACTTTTCCATTACCGGGCCCCTCTTTACCATTCCTTGCACTAGTAACAATTTAGCTGGTATAAGGCTTAAACACAGGGAGTAGTTTTGGGGCCAGTCTAGAAATGTTTACTGGCACTGTTTAAATTTTTATACACGGGAGGCCAGACAATACAATAGCAAATGAGAGATAAGTAAAAGAGAGACAAATTCTTGAACTGCAATCTATGTAAAAGTGCGAAAGAATTACCAGAAACAGGCTGATGAAGACTTTTGTTTATTTAGTTTATATTAATTAACCTTTTAAATTTGAGATCGGATTCATTGCTTATTGCCAATTAACTAACTAACATAAAGGCCATAAAGTCGACACAAAGACCAACTAATTGGAAGTCTTTCATAACTTTTGACTTGACGGTTTTAGCCCGAAAACATCTGCTTTTAGACAGTCACTACAACAGGGGGCGCATTTTCTTTTACACGACGTTCGGACTGACCCCTGCCCTGCTACCGTCATCCGACCCTGACGAGCCTCACGCTTTCCAACTGTGACCTCAGCTTGGCTGGTCTGGTGGCAAATAAATCGAAATACAGGCGTAAAAAAGCATCGCTTGCTTCGGCGTATTTTCCAGCGACTTACTCGCCGTACACATCAAAACTTGACGAGACAAGCAAGGAGCGGGTTGCCCGAAACCATGGCCGCAATCGAGGAGCTTTCCACTACTGCGGGCCCGGTGTCTACTCGGCCTCTAGAAGATGAGATAGACGACGACGAAGATGAAGATGTTTGTATATAAACTCTCGGTGGTTCCGCCATAATTTGTGCCGTACATAATTATTCAGTTGTCCTTGATTCTTGTTGAACGTGCCTAGCTAGCATGACTGTAGCATGCTAACATGTTAGCTAACCAGGTGTCATTCATAGCGTTCAGAGCAGTTACGTTGTTGAACTTGTATGACAATGCAACGTAGAATTCCCCAGTTAGCAGTTACCTCAAGCCAAGTTTCGCTCAAAAGGCAAAGTACACACCGTTTCTGCTTACTTCCTTCGACACACCGCTGCGCATCTCGTTATTTCGCTGTCTTGTCACCCTAACGTTCGTCTATTAACGTTGCTTCCGTTTTGTCTTCCACAGCTGGATGAGACGCTGGTGGAGAGGTTGTGGGGTTTGACGGAGATGTTCCCCGACAAAGTGCGCTCAGCTGCCGAAGTGTCCGCTCAGTGTTCTGTGTCAGTGGCTAAGAAGTTATACAGGTGTGTTTGCGCACTCGCTCGCTTTTGCGGAACGTTTGCCGCGGTTAGCTTGCGGTGGTGATGATTTGCCTTCTGTGTTTCAGCTTTTCCCGCTCCGCGCTCTGGGTGGGCACCACCTCCTTCATGATCTTGGTTCTGCCTGTTGTGTTTGAAACGGAGCGGCTACAGCTGGAGCAGCAGCAGTTACAACAGCAGAGACAGGTGAGCTCCCTTTTTACTCTGGGTCACATGCTTTGCATGTTTGTTTTTTTACAGAAACAACCACAGTAATCAGGTTTTTGCTCTAATAGAAAAATAAGTATGTGTTGTCACTGGTTGAATGAATCCACCATTTCTTTCTGTTCCAGATCCTTTTAGGGCCCAATTCTGGGATGTCTGGTGGGATGCCTGGAATGATGCCTCCTGCGCCTGGCAAAATGTGATCACTGGGTTTTTGGGACGTCAACCTGCAATCTGCTGCCAGCAACACAGCAGGGTCATCCATTAGTAGAGACAGAGAGACCATGGAGAAGAGCAAAACCGTGCAGATGTTTTGTTTAACAAAAAGAGGCTGTGAATGCACAACACTGCAATAGGCTCACTCCAACATATTGTTTTGGTAATTGGATCGGAAGAGGAGAGCGTGATGTTTAAAGCATCTCTCTCACTGTTTCTCCTTTATTTCCATTGTCATACAGAGACTGTTTTCAAGGAGTACTGCTTATGTCATTTTTTCCTTTGTTTTTTTAAAGATACTTCTGTTAGCATAAATAATGTGTTAATGAGAGGATAGAAGGTAAAAGTACGACAAAGAAGAGATGTGGAGGTTGTGTGTCTTGGTGTTTGCAATTTGAACTATACATATTTCTGGCAGTTCTGTCCATCTTTATACGGTTTTTGGATTTATGTGGAGAATAATGTTATGTCCGAATATTTGACAAGTGGAGCGGCTGTAAACTTTTAAATGGTTGACAGAGGAGCCTTTTGTGGTTCCAAACACTAAACATAGCTCTTATATTGTGAAGTGTTTTTCTGTCTGCATTCATTATGAGTCATTGTAATATGTGTCCATGTCTAAGTGCAATGCCTCTCTTGAAACCTGCCACTGTTATATATTTTTTAAAACTGTTCCCGCTTTGGGAAGTTAAGTAACACATTGCAACAAAAGCAGACACCTCTTTGATGACCATCTTATTATGACACATCCAGTCTTAAGGGACGATTTTTTTTTCCTGTCGTCATTCTCTTACACTGAAAACAAATCCATGTCATTGCTTTTTCTAAAACACGACTGCAAAAATTAAAACACCAAATGAAAGAGAATTACTTGCTTTTTTGTGGAAATAGTTACGTATCATATCACCAATTACTCAACTGCCTACACTGTATAAACTTAGCAAGAAAAGTCAAATGTCAATTTAGATTTAATAGCCTTTTCTTTAAAAAAACCAACAAAATCAGTCATCTTTAGTTTGAAAATAATTTGGCAGAATTATGATCATAATTTACAACACTCCCTTCGTGTTAAACGAATAAAAATCGTAATTGACCAAATAGTTGTACGTGAATGACGGAATGAAAAAAATAAAATGTTTTACCAGTGAAGCGTACATTGCTTCTTGCAGTGCTATTTTTAATACCTGGATTATAGGGTGAAATTATAATATACCTACTTAGTATGATTCAGGCAAGACCTTATTAAGATTCAGACATTTTTATATATACATTTGGGTATTAACATTTAGTTTAATGGCAGTTAAAGTGATTAGTGTTGAATATCCGATGGCACTTGAACGTTTCACGAGTCCAAGGTTCCCGCCACTGGCGTTTAGCGCACGAGCTGTTTTAATAGGAAAAAACGAAAAAATCAACTTAAAGCTGTACATTAGAAGACCGTTTTTTGTAGGATAAGTCAAGGCATTCTTTATCAAATTAATTCCACCAGTCCTTTTTCGACAGTTTTGACTTATATTTTGTAAAACCAGAGTTATCCCAAAATTAATTGAACCACTTTTTAAAACAGCTTCAGCCCTTTACAACTGTTAACACTTTTCAAATCCTTTCCTTAAAAATGAAAGTTGCCGAGGATCAGGTTGTTGAAGATGATACAGGTTTCCAGGATGATGAGGTAAGATGTAGCTGGCGTTTTTTTGCTCTGCTTTCAAAAATGGAAAGCTTTGAATTTAGACGACAAAAAAGAAAAAGGAAAAACATTCGCATCAAGCTAGCCATCATCAAATTTAATCTACATATCGAGTTTGTATATTTAAATATTTGATATTTACAGGAAACTGTGTCTCATACACAAGTCAATTCTCATATCAGTGGGTTAAAAATGGACTGTTCAAATATTTCCTCTCAATAATTATCTTATTTTCCCTAAATTATCAGGAGTCATTCTTCCAAGACATTGACCTCCTACAGAAACATGGAATTGTGAGTAAACCACAGAGCTGGAACATATACAGTATTTAAAGTCATGAGTTTACTGTTCCATGACAGTTTCTCTGGGACTCCACTTGTGACTGCAGAACGTGGCAGACATTAAAAAGATGAAGTCGGTGGGTATATGTACTGTGAAGGGGATCCAGATGACTACGCGCAAGGCTCTTTGCAACATCAAGGGCCTGTCAGAAGCCAAAGTGGAGAAAATAAAAGAAGCGGCAGGAAAAATGCTGGTAGGATATGACTATTTTTGGAATCTTCAAAAATGTACCATACTTATGTTCCTGTATGGCTGAAGGAATTTGCAGACTTATAGCTCATAATGGACTCTTTTCACATCATAGAGTGTCGGTTTCCAGACAGCCTTTGAGTACAGTGCGAAGAGGAAGCAGGTGTTCCATATATCAACTGGGAGCCAAGAGTTTGAGTTAAGATTTAGCCATTCAGTGGATTTATTATTTTATACACATTGATAATGTCAAGCTAGACTTTAGTTGACAGCTTCATTCTCTGGGGTTATTTAATCCTTTTATTTGATGCCATTTTTTAATGCTGTTTTTTTACATGACTGCCATCTCTATCTGTGCAGCAAACTGCTAGGTGGAGGTATGGAGAGCATGGCCATCACGGAGGCCTTTGGAGGTTAGGACACACCTGGTTGTACTAATTTCTTTTTCTAAAATCATATTCAAATATCAGGGTATTTGCTTAATTTCTCCTGCAGAGTTCCGCACAGGGAAAACCCAGCTGTCTCACACGCTTTGTGGTGAGCCAACATGCCTTTTTGAACAGTGTGTTTATAAGCGGTTTTAAAAGGTTATGGTATATAAATAAGACAACTGTAATAAAACTTGCTCCATGTTGTCTTGGTCAGTTACTGCGCAGCTGCCAGGCGAGGATGGATACTCGGGTGGAAAAGTCATCTTCATTGACACGGAGAATACCTTGTATCCTTTTTTTGTGAAAACAATACTGGGAATCTAAAATCAGTCCCCCATTATCCTTGACTTGGTGTGATTCTAGTCGCCCAGACAGACTGCGAGACATCGCAGAGAAGTTTAATGTGGACCACGATGCTGTTCTGGACAATGTGCTTTATGCCCGAGCCTACACCAGTGCGACTCTACAGTTTATTTAAACTATACTATTTTAATAGCAGAATTTATTTCTTTACATATAGATATCAAATGCTTCCCTTAAGCATGACAACTTTGTGGAGTTATGAATTTTCTTGTTTTTGATGAATAATCTTTCATTGAGAAGTGTTCGCTCTCTATCTCTCCCCTAAGGTGAACACCAGATGGAGCTGCTGGACTTTGTAGCAGCCAAGTTTCATGAAGAAGGAGGGGTGTTCAAACTGTTGGTAAATAGCAGAAGCCTTTTAGAACTTGCAGTGTTTGGTCGACCTTATTCTTTCTTTTATCCCTAACAGTTATATAGCTGTTATAACACCCTGAAGCAGGGCCTCTTCACAGTCCCGTCCCCTGTTTCCCTCAGATCATCGACTCCATCATGGCTTTGTTTAGAGTCGACTTTTCGGGGCGTGGGGAGCTGGCTGAGCGTCAGCAGAAGTTGGCCCAGATGCTCTCCAGGTTGCAGAAGATCTCTGAGGGTAGGTGGGAAGCTCAATGGCAGTTAACCTGATTCCCTGCACTGACGCACGTACCGTGCAGTACTGACACATCGGCCTGGCTTTTTGTGTATAAAAATATTTGGCCAAGTAAAGAAGAAAATGATATTGAACTACAGTCAGGGCCAGAAATATTTGGACAGTAACACATTTTTCACGAGTTGGGCTCTACATGCCACCACACTGGATTTGAAATGAAACCTCTACAACAGAATTCAAGTGCAGGTTGTAACGTTTAATTTAAAGGGTTGAACAAAAATATCTGATAGAAAATGTAGGAATTGTACATATTTCTTTACAAGCAATCCACATTTTAGGAGCTCAAAAGTAATTGGACAAATAAGCATAACCCAAACAAAAAAGTTTTTTTTCAATATTTTGTGGCAAATCCTTTGGAGGCAATCACTGCCTGAAGTCTGGACTGCATGGACATCACCAAACGCTGGGTTTCCTCCTTCTTATTGCTTTGCCAGGCCTTTACAGCCGCAGCTTTCAGTTCTTGCTTGTTTGTGGGTCTTTCTGTCTGAAGTCTGGTCTTGAGCAAGTGAAATGCATGCTCAAGTGGGTTAAGATCTGGTGATTGACTTGGCCATTGCAAAATATTCCACTTTTTTGCCTTCATGAACTCCTGGGTAGCTTTCGCTGTATGCTTGGGGTCATTGTCCATCTGTACTGTGAAGCGCCGTCCATTAAACTTTGCAGCATTTGGCTGAATCTGGGCTGAAAAGATATCCCGGCACACTTCAGAATTCATCCGGCTACTCTTGTCTGCTGTTATGTCATCAATAAACACAAGTGACCCAGTGCCATTGAAAGCCATGCATGCCCATGCCATTACATTGCCTCCACCATGTTTTACAGAGGATGTGGTGTTCCTTGGATCATGTGCCGTTCCCTTTCTTCTCCAAACTTTTTTCTTCCCATCACTCTGGTACAGGTTGATCTTGGTCTCATCTGTCCATAGAATGCTTTTCCAGAACTGGGCTGGCTTTTTTAGGTGTTTCTTGGCAAATTCAACTCTGACCTGTCTATTTTTAGATTCGATTAATGGTTTGCATCTGGACATGAACCCTTTGTATTTACTTTCATGGATTCTTCTCTTTACTGTTGACTTGGAGACAGATACACCTACTTCCCTGAGAGTGTTCTGGACTTCAGTAGATGTTGTGAACGGGTTCTTCTTCACCAAAGAAAGTATGCGGCGATCATCCACCACCGTTGTCTTCCGTGGACGCCCAGGCCTTTTTTAATTCCCAAGCTCACCAGTGAATTTCTTTTTTCTCAGAATGTACCAGACTGTTGATTTTGGTACTCCAAGCATGTCTGCCATCTCTCTGATGGATTTTTTCTTTTTTTTCAGCCTCAGGATGTTCCGCTTCACCTCAATAGAGAGCTCCTTTGACCGCATGTTGTCTGGTCACAGCAAGCTTCCAAAATGCAAAACCACACACCTGGAATCAACCCCAAACCTTTTAACTACTTAATTGATTACAGGTTAACGAGGGAGACACCTTCTGAGTTAATTGCAGCCCTTATTGCCCATTGTCCAATTACTTTTGATCCCTTGAAAAGTGGGCAACACATACAAAAACTGTTGCTATTTCAATCCTGTTAATGCAATTTGGATGCTAACACCTTCACATTAATGCTGAGAGTCTACAGTTAATGCACAGTTTGTTTGTTTTATTTCAAATCCATTGTGGTGGGGTATAGGGTGGAAAAGGAGGATAACTGTGTTGCTGTCCAAATATTTCTGGCCCTGACTGTAGCTCAAGCTCCTGGTTTATAGTCCCAACTGTTCTTTCTTCATGGCACCACCATGCAGCATAAACTACTGCCAATTTAAGCAATCCACTTACCAGATCCAGTTTATTTGGAAAGATGTTTTTTAAGAAAAAGGCAAGAACTCAGAATCGTCCAGGTAAGCAGCAGATGAGATGTCATTGGGAAAAAAGAGTTAGAATAGGAAAAAGTAGGGACAATTTCTACCCTTGTGTACAAATATGAGATCAGTGGTGGGTAAAATAGACAAGCTCAGATCTCTGCCAGAGAGTAATGTTATTTATTGGGTGCAGGTACAAGCTTTTTATCTTTTATTCAAACTCTATAGATAACTGTATACCTCCCACAGAACATATTTTATGTACTTTCTTCCAGAGTACAACGTAGCAGTGTTCATCACCAACCAAATGACAGCTGATCCTGGAGCAGGGATGACGTAAGGGATTACAAATATCCTCGCTTTGAATAAATCTGAGTATTGCCTTAAAACCATGGCTCTGACAAATTGTTGTTTTTTATGTCAGATTTCAAGCTGATCCCAAGAAGCCAATCGGTGGGCACATCTTAGCCCACGCATCCACCACAAGGATCAGCTTGAGGAAAGGTCGTGGAGAGATGAGGATTGCCAAGATTTTTGACAGGTACACACATGTTGAAGTGGGCATTATTATTATTTGTGTTAATTTAACACAGGCAGGGGCAAGAAAAAAATTGTTAAGATTAGATCATTGTAGCTTTTTATTTCTTTCAATTTTATATCAGATTAAAAAAAATTACAATGTTCTTTCATTAAAATGGATTTTCTCTGCTCATGATTTCCTCTAGTCCTGATATGCCGGAGAATGAGGCCACGTTTGCCATCTCTCCTGGTGGAGTTACTGATGCCAAGGAGTGAGGGATCAACTAAGAAGAAACTCCAGTTCGAGGCTTATCTGTTATTTATACTAGTAATTTACATATGAATATTTTCTTGTATGGAACTCATCACTTTGTCTGGGAAGAATGTATTGTTTAACAGTTTAAAGATGAAATGTATTTATTCACTCAAGAGTTCGTTGATATGGTTTTCATATTTGTTATAATAAATCAAATTAAGACGTGGATTACATTTTGGTGGGTGAGTAGTGTTTATTTTATTTTTAGAATGTCTTGTTAGCAGTGGTTCAATGCTGGCCCCTAGCGACGAGTGGTGGACGTGCAGCAGCCGTGCACCTCTTCTTGTCAGCTACGGGATCCATATGCTTATCAAAGCCAGGCTTAACAAAGCTATGGGAACTTCACTAAACGTGCTGCCAGGAGTCTGAACCACACCAGCAACCCATAGCCTTTGTCACGGAACTTTCAAAATCCTCCACCTCGGTTGGTGCCGATAAGCTTGTCAACTCTGGGAGAAGCAGCCATGGACCCGAGAGACACAGCCCCGGATTCATGGGAGCTGGAGGATGATGTCGAGGCCCCGGCTCCCGCGGCGGGGCTCCCGACCGCGTTCGCCGCCCTCAACGTGAATGCCAAGCCGTTTGTCCCCAACGTCAACGCTCCGGTGTTCGTACCGAGTTTCCTTCAGGCCAGCACCGCGGAAATGCCGGCGTCAGACGGTAAGGTTAATGTCAGACACACGGCTGGAAGTTAGCTTAACTCGCTAGCCCACTTGCTAATCCAGCTAAGTTAGCCTTCCCGCAACTCGCCGTGCTCAGTCCGGACACTGCCTCAGTTATTGCGTTCTGCTAACTGATCAACAAGTCGCCTCAAGTGTAAAGTCATGTGTTGTCGTAGTGTGATAGCTGTTTTTAACATTGAGCCGCTCATAGGTAAACGTGAGACACGGTCAGCCCTTTCTTATAAATATTTATGAAAGTTTGACAAGCTTTGTTTTCTGTCCTTAAAGGTACCCCTGACCCAGCTGCTAGCATGGAGGTGGCAGACACAGTCGGTATGCATCCACGGTGCACTCATGAGACCGCATGTTCGGGTTATCAAGCTACCGATCTGTGTTAGCCGAGGACAGGCGTGGTTATAAGCTGATGTGCGCATATCCATCTCCACCCAGACCTGACAGTAAAGCTCACGAATATCTACTTGTAGCATCACTTACTGCACCATATTTGGGTTTCTGGCATTGGTCAAACCATGTGCATGGGCCTACGTAAAAAATGATGCAACCTCATTTGTCCCTGCCCAAAATAGACATCCCATTGGCACATGCTATGATTGGTGAGGAGTGTTGCATGTCCAAGACCCTGGCCCACTCTGTGGCCTGCTCAGCAATGTGGAAGTATTTGCTTACTCTTCAAACCTTGTCACTCTGTGCCTGCCAGTTTTGATGTGCCTGAGTCATTTCTTTTTTTTTTTGGCTAGAGCCAGCATGCTGTGTACCTTTGCTCTAGTTCCACAGACATGTTTATAAATGGGGGATCTGCAGCTGGAACAAAGTGAAACAAAAAAGACACAAGAATGAGCTCCTTCTGGAGTAACTTATCCTTTTCTTAGAGATGTACCTACAGTTTTTCTTGAAGACAAAGTGTAATTACAGACTGATGAGTCTATCTACAGAGTCGAGGCTTGAAAGGCCTTCTGTAGCAATTTCCCACAGGCTCATTATGTATGACGATTGGTCGAGAAGAAAATGGGTATTGTACACAACTGCCGAGCTGCGTAATTTTATAGTTCACAGAAACGGGAGGCTTGCTTGTGTGTCACAGTGGGGGAGATAGCTCTTCTGCAAGGTTCAGTGGCTTTAAATGCATATATTTCTATCCCAATAGGCGGGGGTCACAGACAACATGCAGCGAAGCATTAGCGATTACCGCTAGCTTCTAGGTTACAACCTAAACTGGAATTCAGATGTTAACCTTTTTACAGCTTTAGGAAGATATGTAGAAGAAGAGCACTTTCCCCAGTCTGAGTTGAACCAGCTGAAGCTAAAACGAGGTTTCCTCTTGCGTACTGCTGCTACGTTTTCAGCACGGCCCAGGTTTCTGCTGTGGAGTGAATTGTGCTAACCGTGTGGTTTTTAGCTCCGGTGGAGAACGGAAACTCAGAGTCGGACATGACCACAGAGGAGACGTGGGAGCAGAAGGAAGAGCCCGGGGGAGGCGAAGGAGGCGGAGGACAGGAGGACCATGGGACAGGAGAAGCATGCGAGGAGGGGGGTGCAGCTGGACAAGAGGACGAGGAGATGATAGAGGAGGAAGAGGAGGAGATGCCCATGCCCAAAGTGGCCCCGCCACTGCCTGACGCGCCCAAGAAAGAGCACGTGAACGTGGTCTTCATTGGTCACGTAGGTGCGTCTTGTTCCTCCGTGCTTTGGGTCTTCACTCATTTTCAGTTTCCAAAAGAGGATTCTTAAAAATATGCCTAATGCCCGTACACCTTTTCCACTTTTTTGTGTGTCAGATGCTGGCAAATCAACTATTGGAGGACAGATCATGTGAGCAATCTACTTTTTGTTCCTTTCCCGCTTGTCTCAGTGCTTTGCGACTCGGCAACAAAAAAAAAAGTTTTTTGTTGTATTCTAACCTTTAATAATCCCACCTGTGCAGCTGTTTTAGTTTTTAAAAAGATCATTATCATTGCTAATTGTTAGAACTGCAGCGGACATGATGACATTTGATAAGTATGAGATTCAGGGCAGACTTCTGTCAACTTTTGTCTGCGTTGTCTTTCCTAGGTACCTCACTGGAATGGTGGAAAAGCGGACCCTGGAAAAATATGAGAGGGAAGCAAAGGAAAAGAACAGGGAGACATGGTGAGAACTCTGCTCATAGGGGGTCGCGGCAGAAGGAAAAATGAATTCCGTACCATACGTGCAACACAATTAATCACGGCGGATGTTGCAGGTACTTGTCATGGGCTCTGGACACAAACCAGGAGGAAAGGGACAAGGGAAAGACGGTTGAAGTTGGAAGAGCTTACTTTGAGACGGAAAAGAAGCATTTCACCATCCTGGACGCCCCCGGACACAAGAGCTTTGTCCCCAACATGATTGGCGGGGCGTCGCAAGCTGACCTGGCGGTTCTGGTATGGCAACACAACTCAAACCAGACTCTGACCAAACATAGCAAAATATCCCCAACACTCTGAATAGCAACCCCCCCCCAACCCCCCCCTCTCCTCTGGTATTTTTTATGTTTGGTACAAGATTCGTGCCCTTACCGTATCCATCCGTTTCAGGTGATTTCGGCAAGAAAGGGGGAATTTGAGACTGGATTTGAGAAAGGAGGGCAGACGCGGGAGCACGCCATGCTGGCTAAAACAGCAGGAGTGAAACACCTCATTGTCCTGGTCAACAAGATGGATGACCCCACTGTTAACTGGAGTCTGGACAGGTGAGGATGGATAAAAATGGTAATAAATCAGGGTTAAGTTTTGCAAATCCAGTCCCATCTGGTTTGGGTACTTCAAACATTTCGTGTCAAACAATACACAGGCTCAAATCGAGGATCTTTTCTGATTTCACCCCCTGCCTTCACACAGGTATGAGGAGTGTAAAGAGAAACTGGTGCCATTTCTTAAGAAGGTGGGCTTCAATCCGAAGAAGGACATCCACTTTATGCCTTGCTCCGGTCTCACAGGTGCCAACCTCAAAGACCCTGTGTCTGAATGCCCCTGGTACACGTAAGTAGCTCTCTGAAATCTCATCATTGACCCAATCAGCCGCTTTTTTTTTTGTTGCTTTTTTTCTGTTGCTTTTTTTCTCTAAGTGTGTATGAATAAGAAATGTGAGGGAGGAAATACAAAAAGAGGATAATTGTGCAGATGTAGATTGTAACTTTTAATTAGCTGCGCAAACCCTGCTTTCATCTTCACGCTGATAACAACCAATCAGCCTAAAAAAGAGAAAGACCGCAGTGATGACTATGATCCCTCCAATAATTCCGCTTAATTGTATTATAAAACAAAACCACACAATGATCACTGGAAGTTCCGGTGGTGGAGGTACAACACATGGGCTGTTGTCAGTTGGTAATAAGAACGTAGAACCACCCTCAGATCAGGGTATTTTAACTCCCCAGTCAATGGAAGAGGCAGTGTTTATCAAAGTTAATCAAAAGGCTTCTATTTCCATAAGGGGGGTTAGGATTGCAGGGGAAAAACTGCTCACTCACTCACTTTCTTTTTTTGTTTTTGTTTTTGTTTCTGTTTCCATACCAGGGGTTTGCCATTTATTCCTCACCTGGACAGTTTGCCAAACTACAACAGATCCACTGACGGACCAGTCAGGCTACCCATCGTGGACAAGTACAAGGTGAGCGGCAGGTAGCCTCTGGCTCTCTTCTCTTAGAAGAGACGAATGGCCATCTGTGGGAGATCGGCTCCTGCGCAGCTCTGGTCTCAGCAGACGTGGGCTTAATAATTTCTTCTGGTTTTGAGCAATCTTCTCCTGCTCCCTTTCTCGGGACGTCGTTCTCTTCCCTCTGAGGGGATTTTCCAAATGTGCATAAACACAGACGCACTCTGCACGCCTCTGCCTGCCGTCTGCCTTCCTCTTTAAGACAAGTCAGCTTCTTGGCTCTCGTGGTGGTTTAGATATTGGAAGCAGTTCAAGCACATCCTGCAAGTGTTGGTGGAATTCAGTTATTTTGAAGTCCTCACATTAATCATTAGCTATTTCATTCCTTTATGCGTCGGGCTCTAAAACGCTGCTATATTGGTGCTGTTTAAATACAGTAGAACCTCTACATACTAATTTAATTTGTTACGGGACCTACTTTGTATAATAAAATATTCGTATGTTGGTTAAAAAATTCCCATATGAATACACTGTAATTTTGTATAATTATAGCCCAAAAACCTACGACAACTCCTTAATAAATATAGCAGATAATTACACTTAGCAACAAAACAAATGCTTTATATAAGAGAGATGTCAAATAAATAAATGATAAAAAATTATTAGTAAAAATGTTTTTTTATTAGCACTTTAGCTTAGAGACTGGTGAACAGAGAGGAAGGCTTAGCAGTACAGGAGACGGAGGAGCCGGTTGGTGTGGAGGTAGAGGTAGTGACTGAGATACAGGACTCACTGTAACTTACACTACGTGAACTTTAAACTAAGTTAGCTTTTTTGTTTTTATTCCATTTTTATATTTTACATGTTTTTCGTTTGACTTCGATGTCATACGTGAAAATTTATGTTGGAAATTTACTTCGGGTGTCCAGTCGAATATTTGATCAAGTTTCACTTTGGATGTTGGAAAATGTGTGTGTTTAGGCAATCGTAAGTAGATGTTCTGCTGTACTCCTCTTTTCCTGTGGCTGCATAAGAGCCTTAAGGGTTAACACTATGTGGGCCTAACTGCTGTTCTCCTGATGTAATGGGATTATAGTTTAGTTAAACAGGTGCTGCTGTACTCTTGGTCTGCCAGCCAGCATTTGGACACAGTAGGCCTTCAGCTCGGCCACAGAGCCTTAGATAAAGCAATTAGCGATTTGCAATAAGATGGTTCTCAGAGATGTTTGAAGCTGTCACAGAGCTTTCCGGACCACATTCCTAGAGGCTTGATTTTGAGAAACATGGATTTCATTCCTATGTTTGGACTTACATTGAGTGACGGATGCTGATGTAATCGGCAGCAACAGCAGTGAGTTAAGAAGGTTTGATGTATAAGATCTACCCCAGTGAGACATGGGGGGGGTGGGGCGTCTCTGTTTGACGAAGTAAGTTCCACCAAACATCCAGGCTTGTTTTAACTGCATCAAAACATAGACCGGGAAACATATTTGTTTTTTTTTAAGTGTGAATGTTGCTTCAGGATTTCTTCCCAAGTTCAGTGACACACTGACCTTTTTTGTTTTTTTGGCCTCCAGCCTCACTCCAGCACACCCCCAAACGTTTTCCTCAGCAAAGTCTACGCAAGACAGTGAACTGCCCCATCAAAACCTCTTCAACAATATTTTTAAAACTGATATTTGGATGCATTCACTTGTTATTGGCATATTCTTAGCTATCAAGTTCAAGCTCAAAAGAACCAAATGAGTCAATGTAAATGGACCTGTGAGTTCATACATCACAGAGTAGTAATGGTTTTATTTGACCGAAAGTCTTGCGTTCACGTTATGTCATCTTTCTAAAACCCCACCAACGTAAAGCAGTTTATCCTCAAAACACATGGCTCTTCACGAGATGAGCGGCCAGCTGTGCCGCCTCTGAACACCGCAACCGTCTTTAACTTCTAACCAATGGCTTCATTTGTGTCAGGCCAAAGGGATTTTCCACTCTGCATTTTTCTGATCCCGTTCCCCGTGTGTCTGCAGGATATGGGCACGGTTATCCTCGGGAAGCTGGAGTCTGGATGCATCAGTAAAGCCCAGCAGTTGGTCATGATGCCAAACAGAGTGGGTGCCAGTATAAGCCTCCATCTCGAACACATTTCTGTGTAACACACTCTCTTAGAATGACTTTTAGTCCAGTTTCGGTGCAAATCGAACCCAAACCTCACGTGCCCAATGCGCTGGTGTGTCTTGCAGCACACAGTGGAGGTCCTGAGCCTGCTGAGTGACGACGTGGAGACGGACGACGCGTCTCCTGGTGAGAACTTAAAGCTGCGGCTGAAGGGAATCGAGGAAGAAGAGATCCTCCCTGGTTTTATCCTCTGTAGCCCCGACAACCTCTGCCACTCTGGTCGCACCTTTGACGCACAGGTAAAGATATATTCAGAAGTTTTCATTTGAATTTTCTGTAACCAACAAGTGTCATTAGCCCTCTTTATTTCATTCTCGCCATCTGGATCTCCCATGTTTTATCTTCCCATACCCCCGGGTGCGGCTCTCTCTAATCAAACATCCAAAAACCAAATGCATCCTCTCGCAGGTTGTTATGGCAACAGCAAGAAATGATTGGGGTTAAGGTCTGTCCAAGCAGGTTCTTTGTGGGCGGGATGGTTGAGCTTCAAACCGATCTGTTTGTCAGGCCAAATGCTTATACAGCTCGTGTAAAAATAGAAATAAAAAGACGAAACCCGACTTTGGTTCGTCTGATGAGCTGTTCGGGTTTGGTATGTTGTTTAGTTTGTAGAGCAAAGAAGAAGTGACTCTGAAAAGAGACATTTTTATGAAAGGGGAAAAAAAAAAGTGGAATCGAATGCTGCTCTTAAAAAGCTTTGGTTTTCTCTGGACTTTCCCTCTCTTGTTTCTTGTTAAATTTGTCTTCTCAAAGACAGTCATTTGAACTTTTGACACCAAACTCAAGAAAAATATCAACAGATGATGTTGGACGCTATGTAGATAACACCATGCTCTATTTATCCAGTAAACCAAACTCTACACTCCCTAACCTCTGGCCTATCTAAAATTAGATATTTGGTTCACCTAAGCCTAAACAGTGATAAAACTGAGATAATCCTCATAGGAGGATCAAAAGCTGACAGCTTCTCTCCCGCAATTGACTCCCTCGCCTCAGGTCAAGACTCTAGGTATCATCAATAATAGATGCTTATCTTTCATCTCTCACATCAATAGCATTACCCGTCCTGCATCTTTGTTATCCACGCAATATTGATCGCCTTCGTCCCCCTCCTTGCCAACACTGGGCATCTATGCTCATCCATAGCCCTGTCACCTCCAGCGCTGCAACTATCTTCCTCAAAAATCTCTCTAAAAGCTTTGAATGGTTTAGAATTCAGCCGCTTGTATTATTACCAAAAACCACACTCTCATTTCACCACACCAACTCTGGTTTACAGCAGCTTCGCTGGGTCCCTGTCAAAGTCCAAATACAATTCAGAACTCTTCTGCATAGGTTCAAAGGCATCCACAAGCTCCCGAGCAGAGCTTCCTCCCACTCTGGAGATTCCCAATACTCACAGTCTTCCTCTGTTCAAGTCTAAACCCAAAACCCATCTGTTCTGTTTGCCCGTTTCTGTGTACATTTTGATATTGCATGTTGTTTTTAATGTAATTTTTTATTTGCAGCGTGTCCTTAAGAATTTTGAAAGGTGCGTTAAATAAAATGTATCATCGGTCTGATTATTATTAATCATTTCCTCCGTACATTTCAGATTGTCATCATTGAGCACAAATCAATCATTTGCCCTGGTTACAACGCAGTCCTTCACATCCACACCTGCATCGAAGAAGTGCAGATCACCGTAAGTTTCCGCCCCGCTGATGAAAGAAGAAAGTGTCAATGCAATGTTGCAGCATCGAAAATGTATCTCCCTTTCCAGTGAAATCTTCATGTCACGACAATCGCTTCCTTTTTATATCAAATCGCTAATGATCTTTACTGGATGTGAAGCTAATTTTTGCATCAGTAACCTGTGCAGAAGATTAATAAATTGAGGTTTTATGGTATGTGTATTCAGTTTGATGTAGTTCTGCTTCATGCTTGGGTGATGAACACTGGAAAATTAAGCCACCCCCTCCTCCCCCTGCATCCTATCATCTCATATGATCAAATCAACCGCCAGGCATTTAGCACAGCACAATTAAACTGAATAAATCTGGCGTACGCCCCGTTTTCCGGGCTTTTGCATGCGGTTTCCTCATTTAAACTTGCGGTGTCTATTGACAGCGATGTGGGGAAACATTTAGGAGACTTTTCTGCTTTGCCGAATTCCCTAAAAGAAATGTATAAAATAAGACTGAATTGATTCCTAACCTGACCGGCATGAAAAGGATCTTTTCAAATTCTGACCGCAGGCCTTAATCTGTCTGGTGGACAAGAAGACGGGAGAGAAAAGCAAAACACGACCTCGCTTCGTCAAGCAGGACCAGGTGTGTATCGCCAGGCTCCGGGCAGCAGGAGTCATCTGCTTAGAGACCTTCAAAGACTTCCCCCAGATGGGACGATTCACACTGCGGGATGAAGGTAAGGATACGGTCAAGGGAGCATGAAAAAAAAACAAAAACAAGAGTGTAAATCAGATAAGGGCTAGTTTAAGATCCCAAAACTGTCTGCACACGTACACACCGTGGCTTGGGTGATGACATGGCTGCTGTGGAAAAACAAACATATTTCTTGGATAACTGTAGTGCTGACCGAACACTGCCCAAAACAGTGACGCGAACATGACACCATAAATGTTCAGGCGTTCTTTAGCTCTCAGGTTGTTTGCCGATCGATTCGTTCAGCCAGTGCGATGTATATTTGGCAAGCACCAATGTTCACAAACCAAGAATGTGGAGCATGTACTAGGCTTGTCACGATCCGATATTTGGATCGGATCGGCCGCCGATATTTGCAAAAAAAATTGTATCGGCCGGCATGCCGATCCAGACTCCCGATCCATTTTTTAATAAAAAGTCTGATCTTTGTTACAATAATCCATTACTGATGCAGTACAGTATTATTTGCACTTTTTACTGTTCACTGATGCCATTTCCGTTTGTTATTTATAATTTAGTCTATTTTGTGTTTATCCCTGAATAAACAGGTCAGTGTCTCTTTACCAACCATTGTGTATTATTCAAACTCACATGATTCAGCTGGCTAGTTGTTATAAGAGTAAATCCCTTTTCAACATGAGTCTGACAACTAAGTCAGTAAGCTAAATAACTTTAAACTTTAATACATGCTCCGATAGGCCGGTATCGGATCGGAAGTACAAAAAGCTGGATCGGGACATCCCTAGCATGACCTGTACATAGGTTTAGATCTTATGCTCAGAAGCACTTTGGTTCTGGCTCAAGAAGCAGTCCTTTTTAAGCTATATAAAACTAATTAAATAACACAAAAAGGCTGAATTTTCTGTCATTTGTTGTAGCATCGATCTATAGTAATTATCTTATCCATCACTTCTCCTTATGTCAACAGGCAAAACTATCGCTATTGGCAAAGTGCTGAAGCTGGTGCCAGAGAAGGACTAAAGACATCAGGGGCAGCTTGCATGGAGTTCTTTACTCGCTAGCAGAGGAGAAACGCTGCCAGAGCCGACCCAAACACCCTCTCTCTCTTTACACACAACTTCGCTGAAGAGAAGAACAACGACGATAAGGAGGGAGGAAGCCGATTAAAGTCATGTCAAATGAAGAAACCAAGACTGAATCAGTTTTTATGATGAACAATATAAAGCGAGAGACCAAGTCCAGTGTGTCAGCTTTCTCATATTGAGAGCTCAGCTATGCCACTAATGTAGCCACACGTCCCCCTTCTTTACTCCCCAGGGCCAACCGTGCTGTTGGCTGGTCACGCCATTTGTTTTTAGAATGGAGCTGGATGCAGTTTTAAGAGATTGGAAGGGTAAGAAGATTAAAAAAACAAAACAGTACGAGTATATTACAAAACCAAGATTTAGCGCGTAGTTATATTCAAATGCTTCTCCCTTTTTAAGAGCGTCGTTAGGAATCCAGCAGACTTTCGATTTGGTTATAAGGATTGCTGTTCCAAGATTTTTAATTTGGTCTCTCTTCACGTGAGCTGATTTAACTGGACTGAGCTCACACACAGTAATGCTCTCATGGTCCAGGCTAAGTGACACAGACACACACCCACTTACAGCTGTTACATAATCTCAACAGAAAATAAATGATCAAGCTGACAAAAAGTTGTCTCTGTTCTGCTTTATTTATTAGTTCTTCAAATAACATCTGGGACAGGCTCCAGCTCTCCAAACACCCTGAATTTGAATACATGCTTATAGGAAATTGAGGGATTCCCAACTAAAGACCATATGGAGGACTGGAAGCTTGTGCAGAGTAGGGGAAGGGGGCGTTTCCACGATGCGTGCATCGAGACTGGCTTCGTTTAGGACAGGAGCTTAAGAGGATGACGTTCGAAACCTCACTGCCTGGCTGTACCACGTGACTGATTCAGGAGGCGGGTCGGATTTTACCGCGAGTTTTGACTGCAACATAAACCGCCATTAGAAATGCAGATGTTTGATGGAGAGTTGCTGTCAGTGATGGAAAGTTTGGATGGAGTTTAGAGAGAGGTAGAGATAATTTGGAGAGAGTATGACCATTTTCAAATAATCAATTTCCATATATCCACAGTATACTGCCATCACTACATATTTGGCATACTTCATTATTTTTCCTTTACAGGCTTTCTACAAATTCATGCCAACTTAAATTGTTCGTGCAGTAAACGTCCTAATAGACCAAATGAAGCTTTGCGCTGTTGTGAACCAACTGGTTGAAAGGCTTCAATGCTTCGTGAAGCTTCATCTGCCCATTACTACTAAATACTCTGAACTCCATGGTTTTTGTACGCAACATTTCTGCCTGAAAAATAATTCCCCTGACCAAAATTTAAGTTTTTTTCTCTTAAATATGGTATCTACGATTAGAAAATACTTAACATTAATGAATGGTTAAATTTGAACTTAACCCTATAATGCCAAATGTATCATATTTGATACGCACGGTTTCTGAAATGTTTTCCCTCTGACACCTTTTGCTTAATTTAATGGTAAAAACTTTGCTCAAAATCCTATTGTACACAATCAGATACACCTGATAACAGGGGGCAGAAGACCTATCGCATAGTAATAAATTATTAATATAAAAAAAGATTTTTCTTTTTGAATATTTGGTTAAAAGGCCAAATAAGGAATTCAAACAAAAAAAAAAGTAATTTTCTGTTTTTTTTAATTCTTGGATCAGGCTTCAGAGTTAAAGTAGCTTGTTCTGTTCGTTTTGTGTAGTTTCTTGTATAAATAAAGTTACAGCTTTTGCACTCGGTGACGACACACTTTGGAACCTCACCGTGCGCATGCGCCACTTAAAGTTAACACGCGTGTGGTTCCGACAGCATGGCAGATAAAGTTGAATTGGAAAAAGCGCAGGTAAACGTAGCGTCTACTTGACTGTTTTGTATGAAATGTGACTTCATGTTATTTCACCAAAGCGTCTCGTTAACACAATTTGTCATTTGTATTAACATCGGTTGTAACATAGCTCGGCTATAGTATGTTTGCTTGCTTGCTGCTAACGGGTTTAGCCTCTAAGCTAGTTAGCCCATAGCAGCTAAACTCCAAGTGTGAGTTGCTTGTTTCTTTCTAAAAAGATATGATTTGGGCTTTCAGGTGAAGAAGGCCGTCCTAGCCTTACAGGCTTTCTTGAAAACCAAGTCTACGAGCGAAGCGCTGTTCCTGAACGAGACTCAGCATATTAGCCTACTCTTCACCCTTTGGAAGGTTCCTAAGTTGCCTCAGAGCATCCGCATGTGAGTCGACCTCATAAAAGGCATTTGAAATGGTTGATTCCACCCGTGATGGTGTTTTCTGATATTGGAGCAGAAATTACACATATTGCAAGCATCTCATTTTTCCTTGTGTGCTCCCTTTTCAGTCCTTTGCCTCATGGCCAGCGAACAGACACGGAGGAAATTTGCCTCTTCACGAGAGATGAGCCCCAGATGACGCCAGAGCAGACGCAAAGATTTTACAAGAAGTTGATGGAAGAGAAGGGTGTCAAAAACATATCTGAGGTACTATCTATGGTCTTTATAATCAAGTGACACAGATACTTGGAGTAAAGAGTCCCTTTTTTATCATCAGCCACACGTATTCACTTGTTTTAAAGGGGACACATTTAGCAAAACCAAGTTTTTAATCATTTGATTATGTACATTTGGGACTGTGGAGGGCCTATAAGCAGGCAAAGTGTGAAAAAAATCTGTCATGTTTTTGTGGGCCGCCTCAGTCTCAATACAGGAGATAAATCAGGCGGTTTCAGGAATCGGTAGTTTCTGACGTCATTAGCTCTAGTTCATTATAATATTCCAGCCTTTCACCTGCATGTTGCCACCCACCTCAGCTTACTCCGCCTATCTGTGGCAGACGTTGTGGTAGCGTGAGCGGGCCGACGTGGGCACACCTCCCTGAAGAAGTGGCTGGATTGTCTTGTGTCCAATTTGCATTTAATTAGACGGGCACTCCAAACCGAGTGCTCTGAACAGGGCTGTTTTGGCAGGGTGATTAAATTGTTATTGTGCTTCATCCTTATGGTATTTTGACCAAAGCTTGTCACAGACATCACATTAGGACACCAGGGAACTAGGTTAACTTTAAATGGGGTATAATATGACTCCTTTAACCCTTTAAAACATAGGGAAGGAAGTTGAGTTCCACATTAACCTCCCTTTTGAATCCACAGATCATACCATTCAAAGTATTGAAGACAGAATACAAACCATTTGAAGCCAAGCGCCGGCTTCTGGGGAACTTTGACCTGTTCCTCTCTGACGATCGCATCCGCCGCCTGCTGCCATCCCACATTGGAAAACACTTTTACGAGAGGAAAAGGTAAGAATCAACCCAACTCTGCAATGTCATAGTACCATAGGACTTTTGTGCTTACGTTCAGATGTTTCTTTCACTTCTTAAGATCTAAAAAATGTTTCCAACAAGTGTAGCAAAGTTTGAGAAAAATGCAGTCTATACTCCGTATTCAATCATAGAATGTGTTGTACAGCAAGAATATGTCAAGCCATACCGATCACTGTCCCTGTCTTTTCCAGAGAGCCGCTGTCTGTGAACCTGCAGAGTAAAAATCTAGCCAGAGACATCCAGAGAGTCATCCAGGGCACCACCCTGAAAGTTACCAACAAAGGCTGCTGCTGGTAAGATTTCCCCCCCCAAGTTTACTTTAAAGCTAACGGCAGCTTTGGGTTTCGTTCTTTTCAGCTACAGAAAATTATCCTCCTGCAAAGGTTTGATTCTTGAAGGAGCATCGACGGCACCTTAGTACAACCCCCATTCATGATTTTTGTTTGTCGTGGGTATCGCGGGTGCCACAGAAACTCAAAGTAAATCCAGATGGACCTCCTCTTCTTGTGGAGCCTGTCTCTACAACTTTGACACAATTTTTTCTTTTTTAAAGCTGATTGTAACTGATGATGTGGGTCCTTCTTAAATGGCCTCAGCATTGGAGCCTCACTCGCTACTTTTTTTGCAGCATGGCTCGTGTCGCCCATTCCGGGATGAATGCAGATGAGGTGACGGAAAACATTGAGGCCACTGTCCAAACGTTGGTGGCCAAACTACGAATGGTGAGTCGAACTGCTTCAGCACACCCGATTCACATCACTGCGCCAAAAGCAGCCCTAAGCAAAGCTTAATAATGTTTTGAATAGAGTTATTTAACGAGCAAGGAAAGCATAATTTCAAGCAGTTTTCATTTGAATTGATTTTAGTCAAAGGGACCATTTTCCAGTGATGAACTTATTCTCTCCGATTTGTTTACAGAAAGGTCGGATGATAAAGCTGATCCACGTGAAGAGTCAGACATCAGTGGCCCTTCCCATCTACAACTCGAGCCTGAGCCACCTGAGGCGGGCGAATACTCCTAAAGGCACCGTGAGTACTTCTGTCAATCAAAGGCTGTCTTCACCGAGCCGGCCAACTAATCGACTCTTGCGTTTGCGGATTACAGAAAACCACGCCAAAAAAGAAAAAAGGAAAGGAGGGCAAGCCAGAAAATGAAAATCTGGAAAAGGGGAATGAAGAGGAGAAGAAGGAAGCGAAGGAGGACGGAAAAGAAGATGAAGAAATCCCACAGCTAGTTCCCATAGAAACACCTAGCAAAAAGCCAAAACTGGAGGTCAGTGTTATCCACATCTGCAACAGTTTGAGCTTTCACAACTTGGTTAAGTTTCAATTGAACATTTACATCATGTTTAGACTTTTTCTTTTTTTATTTCTGATTTTATGTGCTTCCTGATGATAGCCACGTCTTTACTGTCTTGCAGAAAGCACCCAAAAACAAGCAGCTGCGGAAGGCTCCCAAACCCGCTGCTAAGAAGAAAGGAAAAAAAGCTCCGGGCAAAGTGACCAACAAGGCGGCAAAGGCAGAGTCCAAAGTGAAACGAAAAGGAGCTAAAGTGAAATGATCTTCACCGGAACTCGGTTGCAAAGCCTCTACACGAACATTCGACTCCTTTTGCAAAGACCAGGAACGGGCTGCTTTGATTTATCTTTTCTTTATTGCTATAAACCTTATCTGTAATGAGATCATCGGTTGGTTTAGAGCCATCGTCTCGAGTTTTTCCAACTCGTCATAGCAGCAGTGACAATTGTCAGAATAACTTGTTTTAATTGAGTCATTTGTGCCCAGCGAGTGTTGATCTTGCCACGTTCAGCCTGACATCTGTGTTCCACAGCAGTGTTTTAGTGGGACGCCCACGGCGTGGCCTTAAGCTTTAAGGCTTAAACGAACTGCTATTTGACGGGGCTTGTATTTTACTTTAGAGTTTGAATCTGCAGTGTTGTCGCGCGGTAGAAAAACATGAACGTTCACAGGAAGACTGCTTGAATACGTCCTGTCAAAATATAAACCTTAACCTTTCCATCCCCTCTTCCAGCCATTAAAATCTAGCCACTCAAACAACATTTTTGTGCTCTAACTTTTGTTTGCCCGTTTGCTCTTTGTGGATGCAGCCTTCTGGTTTGTGCTTTTTTAGCTGTATCAGGTGACGGGGCCATTGTTGATGGGATTAGACTGCAGCCCTGGAGCTTGTGCAGCTGCTACCTGCATGTGATCCGGTCAGTTGGGCACAAGTCTATCCGGTACACAAGACTTTGTTGTCATCGCAATCTTTCTCTCTCAGGATGTCATGCATAAACCGCAACCACTCAGCAGTGTTTAATTAGTTATTTCCTCGGGCGGGGCGCCTTCTAACGAGATGACTAGAAGATGACGGCCTTGTTTGGTCCTCCCTTTGACGTGTGTGGCCATCTGCAATTACATGGTGGGAGCTTAAGAGGTGCATCATGCACACGCTCGTTTTGTCATCGTATGGATGACGAAACGTGTGACCGTTTGGGCGACAGCTAGGTCCACAGCCAAGTCCACTCTCACACCAGTTGAACAAGTGGGAACAGGAGTCCAGAAGAAATGTTAGGAGTTGCTGACATTTCTGAAATTCCTACGTGGGTAGAAGATAAAGAGTTAACGGGCATTTTTCCGAACATGGAGACAACTGAAGAAACTTCCCTGGCAGATAGGAGTCGGAGTCTGCGTGCGGAGGCTCGTTCTCCAGATCTGGGTTGCGCCTATCTCCACAAGCCCATCATAGCCATGCTGCTAGGATGATGTTCGGGCTGATGTTCGTGGTGTTGGGGCTGGTGTGGATCCCCATTCTGAAAGAGAAGCTGAGACGGTTCACCCAGGAAGCCTGAGTAAAGAATCCGAATGACGAAGGTGGAAGAGGGAGGTGTTTATTTTTTTGCCTGTGATGACACAACCAAGACATCCAATACAGTCAATGTGGTGATAACAGCATGTGTGTGTGTGGGGGGGGTTGTACTTTGAACTGAGTGACAGCAGCTGGACTCCTGTGAGTATTCCATTTGCTTGCACAGCAGCACCTGTCGGCTCTGGAATTATATCGGGTACAGATTTTTTCGTCCAGTGGATACCCCCCCCACTGCCATCATGTCCACATCTGTAGAGATGGAGCCGGTCCCGGAGAGGAAGTATGAAGGAGTCGGCCGTTGCAAGTGCTCGTTCTGGTTCGCGGTGTCCCACATCATACTCGGCGTCCTCATCGTCATGGTGGGGGTGTTCGGGGGGCTGGCCGTCCACGATTTCTTCATATACGCCGGGGCCATCGTCCTCTTCCTCAGCCTGATCTGGTGGGTGTTCTGGTACTCGGGCAACATCGACGTGCCGCCGGAAGAGCTGGAGGACGACGTGGGCAAGATCAAGCAGAAGAATAGGAGCCTCAACCAGGCAGTGAGGCGCGCGTCCGGCCACCTCTCCAACAGGATCAGGGCCTCTTTCAGAAAGAAGGCCAGAGCTGTCGGTGAGAACCCCTCATGTGAGGAAAGACCTGCTACGAATTGTACCGAAGTGCCAATCTCCACGATACATGACACCTCCAATGCATCTTTGTCCAAAGAGTTTGTTAGAGAGACATTGTCGATATGAACTAAAGCATGATTTTAAAAAAACGCTGCCAAGGGACCCTAAAATTGGATCTATATGTTCATTTTCTTCGTATGTCACTTTACTCAGTTCAGAGGATTTGGTGTCCGTCCTGCTCTGGTAATAATTACACCACACTAAAGCTTTGTCCTGATAAGATCCACATGCTTGTATAATGCTGATAAGATGGAAACTTTGCACACAATAACAATGTTTCTCTGCCATGTGTATCCACAGCTTTCATATCAGACATTGAAGGAAAAGTTTGACTGTAAATAGAAAGATGAAGGATAAAATGCTGAATCATGTATTATTTTTGTGAAATGGAAGATGCTGTCCTTATCTGGATGATCTATAACGACCACTGTAGCAGCTGGTTTTGTTTTCAGTCTCACAGCGATTGCTAGTGGATGTGATGCGGGACAATTTGCTGACATGCTGCTACCAAAGGATTTGTAGTCGTGCAAAAGGACATCTGTGGGAGAGGCTCGCCCACGACCCCGGACACGGTCTAGACTGGCCTCAACCATCCCGAGAGTCCAGATGTGTTTCACAGTCCCAAATTCTCATTGGATTGGTCTGACCTGCAGCTGCTGAAATACTCATTTTACTCACTTTGTGATTTGTAAGTTATGATAGTTGTATCATTTGCTATGTGATCACTTTGATCTGGCTAAGATCTGTAAATGCTCTTTGTAAATAAGTTGCACCAAAAATGGATGTCGGAAGATTTTTTATTCATCATCCTGATGAGAGTCAACGCATATCGGCTCATTGGATAATAAACTAATAATTATAGAACGATAACCTTATAAGTATAGATGGGCTTCAGTAGACAAAGCACTTACTTGTAATAAATGTTATTACTAAAAGATGTTTTGGCTTTTTTATTTCTTCACTATAATAAAAACTATTGATTGACAAATCAATAGTTGACAAATTGAATGACAGAATTTGTGTAATCAATTTGACTTTCTACACTTTTCAGTTCACTTAAGAATTGATAAATAGTGAAGAGCCTAACATGAGCTAGGGCTTTACACTGGATGCATGATGGTGTCTTGACCCTTCTCAGGTTTTTTGGAAACTTGCAATGCGTCACCTCTGAGAAGTTTTTTGTTAACAGCACCTACTCTGTGTTCATCATCTTCCTTGATATTGTCACATTTGACATTTTATAGGAATTGGACAAAGATACCCCTTCCCAACATTTGTCTGTGGATAATATTTATGATATTGCTTCTTACAACTGGATTCTTGGCTCCAGCTTGGCTCTTGTTCTAAGTAAAAGGCCTGCAAGCTTGATATTGGCACCAGGTCACCAACTGCGTACGTAACAGTGCTTTTTAAGAATTTACTGTGTGAAAGCACATTCTCGCATGAGGTCTAGGCTCAAATAAACTCACAAAAGGTGTTGGATTTTCACTTTTTTGCGTCCCTCCCCTTAGAGATAAGTTTGTTCTCCAACCACAAACTCCGAGGTTTAGTTGCACTGTGAATGCCATACCAAATTATTTCAGGATGTAAAGATTTACAAGCACCTGCTACAGCGCCTTGCAGTAAAGATCCCAAAGACCCCAAAAATACAACGTTGAAATCTTGTTTTCATAATTACTGCTGGAAAGTAGGACTGTTATTACAAAAGTTGCTAATTGCGGAGACACTTGGACTAATAAATGCAGCGTTTGGGCAGAAAAGTCCAGCTTTAAACAAGTTTTTATGGCTCTAATGTACTTGAATGTTGAAACATAGTGTCTTCATAAGGAATTTCCCCTCAATAGCTCAGTAGAGGACTAATGACGTAATATTAAATCCTGAGGCCAGAGATTAAACTGCAGGAACTGATTTTTTTTTCCAATTATTCTTGCAAAAAGAAAAAAAGGTCTAATACTTACAAACAACGGTGGCTATATAAAAAAAGAAAAACATCCGTCTCAATTTCTTATCGTGGATATTTTCGACACTTTGTGACTGCTTTACGTCCCTAGCTTGACTTTTAAATAAACCGCAGGTAGAAAGTATTGAATGAAAACAAACAGCCAAATGTATTTATTTATTTGATAAAGATACAGCCTCTCGACAAAGATTTGGTCAATTTAGTGCGGAAATTCACTTGTTTGGACACATTAAAAGCATAGCTAAAATGTTGGATACGTCTGCTTCAACAACTCTTTGGCGAATACAAAGAAAGCTAACGCTTAGGGCTTGTTTGTCAGCCATATTCACTCTATCCTCAGCGTAAGGACTTTTAAAAGTGAATTTCGGAATATGTGTTTGGATGTTTTGTGACTACAACTCCCACGCGCGGCTCGTTGTCATATGACTGGGCTTTGTTTGGTCATGTGACCTTGTCGCTGCTATGTCCGTGCTCGGTTTCCCTTTTTCGCCGTGTCACACGCTCTAAAACCATACAAACCGCTAACATTTCCTTTCTTTTTTCTTGACGGCTCACCGCTTCGTACGCAGGTGGTGTACATGCTCTCAGGATAACGCACGGACCTGTGCCCTTTTGAGTTATTCTGCTTATTAGACGGTGTACAACTGCTTTTTATGTCAGACTGTGGAAGCCCCGGCGGCTCCCCGGCAGGCCTCGCGGTTCGCGGAGTGTCCATCGGTGCTCTCGCGCCGGTTGGGTGGCCCCAGCTCGGCCACGGAGGCGAGCGGCGGCCCGGGGCATCGCTAGCCTTCTGCTCTTAGCAATAACTGAGCCACAGAAAGCGATGAAACATATCGGTGCCGGCCAGTCTAGCAGTGGGGTTTGGCTGTCAGAATGAACGGTGAGTTTCTCTGGTTGGTTTTGTATAAATATACATATTCGTGACATCCAGCCACTCTGTCATGAGATGTCATGATTCTACAACTTGATAACAGTTGGTTACGTGCACCGGTAGCTACTTCCTGTAACCGGCTTTCCTGATTCTAAGAACTATATACAAATTAAAATACACGTTTAAATGCACTTTCCTCGATATCAGGACTGTATAAATGAGCCTATTCCGTCATTTTAAAAAAGCGCCTGCTAAATGCATAAACATTCACCACTATCATCTAAAAAGGACATCTCATCCATATTCGCTCAGTTACCAAAGACCAGCACATATCACTTCATGAAAGTCCTTGAGAGAGTGTTGTTTTCTGTTCTAAGTAAGAAAGCTAACAAACTCTACTTTAATTGGCTTCCAGTTATGTATTTGGGGTTGATGATGCCATTATTTAACGGTCTATCTACTAGAGATGGGCAAGTGAAGCCTCATGAAGCAATGAAGCTTTCCAACGCAAAGTGTCGAAAAAAGTTCATTACTCGATGCTTCATTCATCACTCACTAGTGACATCTGCTGGTGAAACTGTAACAGCGTTGTTACTCAGTTGGATCATACTTCCAAATATTAGGAAATGCAATATTGTCACAAAGTTTTCATCAAACTCATGTTTAGTAAGAGGAGAATCCTATTTAATTGTCATGTTTTAATGATTAAAATGATTTGTAGCCAATCTAATCCTTGACCATCAGTGGTGGTGTTAGGTTTTCTTTTATGTCATGGACTTATTAGACAATGAAGATATGTGTTACTTTAATGTATTGAGAACTGAGTGACTGTTGCTGCAGACTCTGTATACTTTGAGCTTGAAACTTGCTTCCTTAAAGACAGAATTCTTTTTAAATCATCTCTTCCTAGGAGTTCTAGTTCTGATTCTTAATATTAAGTTACACATAGAGTTTGCCTCTTCTAATGGCTTTTAGTCTGGTTTTGATGTGTGATTCTGATGCATCTCCTGATTAAACAAAAGAAAATATAGAAATTTCTGGATTTTAGGTTTAATTGTTTTTATTTAGGAATAGGACTTTTTTCACTGTTTCAGGTTTTAGACGGTTTCTTCGTCGGCAGATGACCTCCCCCGCCTTGGAAAAAACTCGTTCACACGCTTTTATTTTGAAAACCGACACGCAAAATGAAGCAGTCACGTGACCAATGCAATGCGAAGCCTCGTTTGTTGCCAGTCACGTGGTTTTCAACAAGACAACACAGGCCTCGAAGCGGGGCTTCATTGACACGCCCCCTTATTACTCGGTACAAGCCTCGAAGCCTGGCTTCAGATAGCCCATCACTACTATCTACCTATGAGTCCACTCTCATATGCCCAATGAGGAGCGTGTTCTTTTGGCCTTTCAACTGCTTTTCATTGGCTTTGATATTTACTGTTAACATAAAAGGCCAAAGATGACACTGTTGGATACTTTCACACACACCAAAAGGATTATTTCCCTCACGAGAACCTGACCGCGGTGTGTCCGCTGCAGGGAACAGACCTCTCACTGCATGTGTGTATTTTGAATGTCTCAGACTTCCAGTACAGTTGGGAGGCCTCTCATCCACAGATGATGAGTCCATAGTGTACTAGTAGTGAAAATGCTTAAGTACTTGGTGTTGTGGTATGGTGTGGGAACAGCCATCTCGAACTGAATGTAAACGAAACGAAGATGATGAGTGTGTATTGCAAGAATAAGTCTAAGGTGGAGATGCTGATACCTGTGTGATCACCTGGTGAAAGGACTGGACTGGATGTGCATCTCTGAGGCTGTGAAGCCGAACAACCTGACACAGAAGGCTGGTGTTGGGGCTTGGGACTGCTCTGGAGGTGACTCGGAAAAGATAATGTCTCAAAATGCTTTTCAGCATGACTGTAAGCACTGCATGCTTTCCCCCTAATGGTGTGTTCAGCCAGAGTTGTCCCAAAGTCCCACCCAGCCCACAGCAAGAACTCTGCACAAGGACTTTCTAGATAAATGAAAGTTCATGTTGTGACGGGACGACAGCAGTTCTTCAGAACTATTAATTTGACGTAAAAGTCTATTTCCATTCTTGTTACCACGAACCATTAACCAGTTAATTTCCTTCCTCTTTTTCTTGGTTATGAATAATTGATAAGGTAAAAAGCCATGGCTGGGAAATGGAATGTGAATTTGCCCCGTCCCTCATCAGCAGGCATTGTGTTTCTCTCCGCAGGCACTCAACAGAGCGATACAAAGAGACAGCACCTCCTGGAGAGGCTGTTGGATGCTGTTAAACAGGTAAGCGTCTGGGCTATCATTTCTGCAAGTGTGTGAGCGAAACTTTACGGCACTATCCTGTAAATGATAGAAGAAGACGAGATAAACAGGGGTCGATATTTTAAGAAAATGTGCCCATTTGTGTTTGAAGTGATGTCTTTCTCTGGAACTTTTGTTTCTTTTTGTTCTCTTTTAAAGCTCAGGCAGGAGTTTGCGGTGCCCAGACCCCTTTTTTTGCTTCCTTTTTTTAAACCTAATGAAATCAAGAGGAAGTAAAACCGAGCACAACCTCAGCTTTTAATGTGTCAATCTCCTTTGGATGATGAAAAAGAAATAATAAATTCTGAGTGGCTTTCTACAAACCTCTCAAATGGGACTCTTAGCTAATGTGCTTTTACTTTGCATTTATACCATGTGAATAGGACCCCAGAACGAGCCAAGCCCCCTTTATTTATTTTGCATTTTAAGGCCTTTCATTGGGTTTCAATCCAATTTTTTTTCAAGCCAAAATCAAGAGTCAGAGATTTTTCCCCACAGGTCAGTTGAAATCAGTCATTATATGTTGACAGAACGGTCTCCCTTGAGTAAATTCTGTTCCATTGCTTCTTGGTACTAAAGCAAAACGAGGCTGTGGAAGGGGAACTTTTCAAACCCAACAGGGAAAGTACCATAATTCTATTTCTATCTTCCCAGTGCCAAATCCGCTTTGGAGGAAGGAAGGAGATTGCCACAGACTCAGACAGCAGGTAAAAGAAGCTAAGCAGAAGTTTCTCTGTGTCTGTACATATATGTATACATATATACAAGTATATGATGTGCTTATCTGGCATCAAAGTGGTTTGCTTTTTGACACAGTGCCATAATCTCTGTGATGCAATTGTCTCCCTTCAGTTTTGTAGTGCAAATTCTGTTTTGATAGTTATTTTCTTTACTGCTAAAACATTTTTTATGCTGAAATTCCATCTTATCTTAGCGATTAGTGTCTTGTTTACGAGCGTATGCAGTGCCAGAGATGGAAGATGGGTAAATGTGTGAAAGATTTTATGAGTGTTTTTTTTTTGTTTTTTTTGTTTTGTCCCATCAGAGCTTAATGGGGGCGGTTGATGAAAATGTCATATTCTGTGCTGCTCAAACCTCATTTTGAGCTTTTAGCAGCGACATTAGCTATCATTTCTGCATCATAAGCGTATGAAGTGTGCGGTGGGGGCCTTTTAAAGTGATGATGCTGCACAGTGCAATTTCATAATGAAAAAAGCCGTTGTGCAGCCCCGTGCGACTATTCTTCATAAGTGAATGATCACACCGTCCACTTCCAGTAACCCCTTCTCCTTCCCCGCAGGGTGATCTGCTTGTGTGCCCAGTTTGAGGCGGTGCTACAGCACGGCCTGAGGAAGAGCAGAGGCCTGGCCCTCACTGCTGCTGCCCTTAAGCAGGCTGCAGGCTTCAGCAGCAAGACCGAAGCAGGTACAAGTGTGTTTTAATCTGAGCCGTGGGCCTTTGAGAGGAGGACTTCACTCCACCTCACCAAGCCACCTGCCCTGGAAAAGACGGAGCTAACCATGTTGCTGGGTAGATCGATAGATTGGCTTGTTATCTTGGGAGCTGCTTGACTGTTTTGAAAAGCAGGGCAAGCAAACATGTCTACTCCCACTTTAGATTATATAGTTAAAGAGGAGTCTTCTTCCCTGTTTTATTTTCTCTCCTTTTAAAAAGCACAGAGGGTGGATCTATTGTCAGTGATTGGACTAACAGCAAATAGGGGGGAAAAACCCAGTGTCTATCTTGCCTTTTGTTGTTTTTCCACTACTCCCATCTGCTCTGTGTCCAGCTTAAATAGTCAGAAACAGGCCAGGGTGTACGTATTTCTGAGGTCAGTGGTGAGATGAAGTTTCCTCATGTAAACCAGAGTCTTGTTACGGAAAATGCATGCGGGTGTTTGTTAAGCTGATAAAAAGTTTGCTCACAATTCTCAATCAGATCCACAGAATTTCAAACACTTTGTGGTATGATGGACAACAGGAGCATGCAATAATAGATCTGGGCCATTTATAGGAGAAGGTCTAAATATATATATTTTCATTTGGAAGGGTTGAAGGACAAAGGTTCTTAAATCTAAGCTTCCGTTTGGACCGAGGAGACCGCATTGGAGAGTTTTTGCCGTAAATAGGGAACCACATAACATATCAGAACAAATACCTCATACTAGCTGTCGGGCACAGTGATGGAGGGATAATGATCAGGGTCACATGATCTAGGCACCTTCTGACAAAGCCAGCGGCAGCAGCCGTATTTTTAACACACTTTCACGAGGTCACACCGTAATTGTGTGTAAAAGAGGCACACAACTTTTAAAACCTCACAACCTCTGTTTTTCTTTATTTTTTTTAAATAAGGGGATGTACAGAGACTGCTCCGTCTACTCCATTGACTTTGAATCCTGTTATATACCATCAGAACGTTTTTTTTAATACGTCAGAGCAAGATTGTTCTCTCTATCTTTTGCATCTGTTTTACCTTCCTTCCTGCATCTTTCTCTCCTTCTCCTCGCCCCCCCCCCCCCCCCCCACCCCTCTCTCTTATGCTGCCCCTTACCAGAGTTGACTTTTTGGTTCTATGTGAAGGAGCACCTGAACCGCCACGAGCTCCACCGCTTCTACTCCCTGCGCAACATCTCCTCGGAGCTGGGCCGGGGTCGCGCCTGGCTGCGCTGCGCCCTCAACGAGCACTCGCTGGAGCGTTACCTGCACACACTGCTGGCAGACCGGCCCCGTCTGGGGTTAGTGCGTGACCAATTCCGGCGGAGTCACTCTCGCCTCTGAGAGTGTCAAGAGATACTTGTATCTTTAAAGTGTGATCCGGTGTGACCCTGTGCATGGGAGCTCGTTTAGCCTTTCCAGTTAAGTTTAGCTGGAATCTGCACGTTTGCTACTTACTCAGAAAAGATTTTCTCTTCCTCCCTTGTGTAGAAGTTACTATGAAGACTGGGCTTTTATTCTAGATGAGGAGCGAGCAAGTATGCTTCCCACCATGGCTGCAGGTGAGATTGTTTTAACAGAGCTTAACACTTCTTTTTTTTTTCTTTTAAATTTAAAATAGAACAAATGCTTTCTCCACCTCCATCAGTCAACACACAAATCCCCACCTTCACCTTTGGCAACAACAGCATTACTTAATGCAACCTAAAAATCGGATTTGCTTTGGCACTGTGAGGAATTGTGTGTGGACTGATCTATTAATTGATTAATCTATTCATCTATTCAAGATGAACCTCGATGTCACAATGCAAAATGCAAAAAGGTCTTGTAAGAATATTGTTAACATGAACAGTAAGTTAATGATATATCCTGTTACCATGATATATTTTTTCTTTCATTCTCTAAACCTACTATATCCAAGGCATGTTCAGTACTTTTTATGGTGTTTTATTTAGCAGGAATACCTTTCTGGTATGTTTTCCTTATCCCCAGGCTGAACTGTACTTTTACCCCCTTCTTATAGTTCCCTTTAGGGATTTTTGGTGCTCCTTTTTACTCTTAATTTAAAGCTGTTTATCTTTTGGAGTGCTTTTTTCGGTTTTGATGAAGGGGAACCTAGCAGTAAAAACTTCTCTGCAGGCGTTTAAAATGGGAATCTTCACAATCAAAAACATCATATGTGTAACTGTAAATATATTGAAAAATGCTGTGTTCAGGTGTACGATAAGCATCACTATTCCTAAGGACATAGTGATGTCCTTAGGAATAAGATCGAAATCTTGCATTGCCTTTCATTTAACTCATGGTTTATTGAGATTTAAAGGCGTGTTTGAGTTAATGGTTGTGCTCTGACTATTTAAGTATTGATGAGCACAACTCTGCTGAGCACAATCTCTTAAATATGAAAAATATGTCCCACTGATCTAATACTTCTTCTCCTTTCATCTTGAGGGTGTTGCCCCAAGCCAAATCAAGCCCATCACACTTTCACCGTGCACACCAGAAAGGCTTGCCAAGCACTTCGTTGACATCCCCAACTGGCCCCAACTGTTTTGCATTATTCTCACCTCTCTTCTTCAGGTCTGAATTCAATCTTGTTCGCCATCAACATTGACAACAGCGATCTGAACGGCGGGGTGACACGAGGAGGCCCCTCGGTGTCCCACCTGCTCAAGGAGTCCACGCAGGGCATCGGCAGCCTGTGGAAGGAGTCCACTCAGGGAGTTAGCAGCCTGCTCCGGGAGATCAGCACTGCCACGACTGTGGTGCCCGGGTTCACCCCCCGAGCAGACGGAGCCTCTGACCCGCTGCCTGTCCTGCCACGCAGCACCTCCGCTGGTAGGACGCAGCCTGTATTTTTGAAAAACAGCTTTTTTTTCGCACTGTTCTTTCCGATTGTCTAATCTCCCTTGTTTCCATATGATGTCACAGTGCTGCCATGAATATCTTGGCTTTTATTTCTCATATAGATTGTGTCTTTTAGTTTATGCAAATTGCAGACCATCACATATTAGTGACCCAATAAGCCCTGAAAGATTCTGCACTGTGAGCTCAATCAGTCTTTTCCACCCAAAATCATCGACCCGTACCTTCCTGACAATTGCTCAAATGCCCGTTCTTTTTGACTTCCTTTTACAGTGAGTCCCTCGACTGTGTTTCCAGGTCCTGCAGTCTCAGCATCTGTGATGTTGTTTCATGCTCCCCTTTCTGAGATGTTATTATGCCCTTCACGGGCATTTTCTTCTGCTGACTGAGGATGGTTTGCAGTGTACTCGGTTTTAATGAATTGCTCTAACAACAAAAAATAGAGACAGTTTTATGGTCTACGAGCATTAATCTGACACAGAAAGAATCTGAAAAGATTCTTCTGAAGCTATCGGTGGATGAAGTCGAGTGGGACCAACAGCAGGGTAATGAAGTCTAACGGTTCGGTTCTGAAACTTTCCACTGAAATAAATGTGAATTAATTCAAAGTTGCTGTGCCAGCTCCTTCAAGAGGGTTGACACACTGGTATTACTCATTAGCAGGAGATCTGCTATTGCACTGGCAGCCTGACTCTGAGAGGGGAAATGGAGAATATTTATGTACTTCTTTATCACTTTGAAAGCTGCGCCTTAGATACTGCAGCAGGTACGATTTTCAGTAAACAATTCATCTTTTTTTATTACATTTTTCTTGCTCGACAATGATAACGCATCAGCTGCTGGGTGCGCTGCCCTCCTAAATAAGCTTTGAATTGATTTTTCGATCTCCAGGAGCCATGTGGCTGTCAGGGAGATTGAAGATGTGGTTTTCCCTGGTTTTATGGCCAGGAAATCCTTCAAATGCATGAATAAGCAGGTTGTTCATTGTGGAGCAATTCCAAAGACAAGGGGGAGCCCTGCTTTGTTGTTCCTTCAGTGCCGAGCAACAGGTAGGGACCCGACTTTTCTCCCTTGTTCCAGCCAGCTGGTAAAAGTGTGGTAAAAATGATAATGTGACTCGTCTAAACTTTGTGGAATTAATATTTGGGGGGAAGCCAGTCTCAGCGTATACAAGGTGTTGAGCTGATTCACGTTTGAAACATTTTAAGGTTGTTTTTGAGCTTTTTGTTTTTCCCCTTTTCCTCCCTCAGACTCAGGGCTGAGGAAAGAGCGTCGGAGGAAAAAGAAGATCACCAACATCATCTCCTTTGATGACGATCTGGATGGAGGGGCTGAGGATGAGGAAGAGGGAGAAGAAGACTCCCAGAAGGGGAGGGTGATGCGGAAAAGCTGGACTGCTCCAGCCCAGAGCAGCGTGGAGGAAGGGGTCGACCCGTTGGAGCCGACTTTCCCTGAGTTGCCCGACCAGAACGGCTTGGCCGAGCCTGGCATCGTCAACTGGGTGGGGTCCCCGCACCCCTGCCGCACAACTCCCACATCTACCCCTCCTTTGCCTGACAGTAAGAGTATAGACAATGAGGAAGAGGAGGAAGAGGAGGAGATGTACAAACCCAGATCACAAACCAGGGAGGAGCAGGAGGAGGAGGAAGAAAAGGTCCCTGCTGATCAGTAAGTTGAATTATATAAAAAGAAGCTACTTTGACTTGCGGATGCAAATTATAATGGTTTGAAGCAGAGTGACTCAGTTTGATGAAATCGATAGTTTCATAATACACAAAATTAACTTCATGAATCAACATTAGAGAAATTAGACATGTCAGCTTAGTCTACAAAGAGCGATAGACAATGCAATGCAAAAAAGGTTTAAACTGCTTCTTAAAACGTCTGCTCAGAAATCATATGAACAAAATCACCAAGGTTTTTTTTTTCTTCCTAATCTTCCTGCCTATCCACAATTGAAACGCACTGAAATGCACAGTTTTTTCTGAAGAGGCAGCCAAACTGACGTTGTCCTGTGACAGGTTAGTGGTGGGCAGTCTGTCCAGCGTGTGCACATGGAGTCCTGTGCAGCCCATGGCCGAGCAGAGCACCTCCGACATCCTGATCCCCCTGAACCCAGCTGACCCCCAGCCAGGTACTCGCACGTCCATACACAGACACCGCAGCAGTACCTGCAGAGGGAGTGGTGGCACCACCAGTTAGCCTCTTGAACAAACGTGTTCCGAGCTGCCGCCGAAAGCTTCTGCTGTTCCAAAAAAATGAAGGTACTTTCCGCACCTTCACTTTCACTTTGTTTCAGTGAGCTCTGTGGAGGACGCGTCTGGGTTTCCCGTTCAGTGTGACTCGACAGGATCGGTTGAAAACTGTCAGAGCGGCAGATCCCAGCTGATGTTTGGGTAAGTCGTTGTTGCATTCAGGAACTGTGTGATATCTTGTTAGATTTATATAATTTACACCAGTTACAGACTGGTGTAAATGAGGCGTATTGTCAGGCAGCTTCAGCTTTACGTGGAAAGTAGATGATGGAAGTGCTCTGTTTGTTCCTGCGTTTTTTCTCCAGCGTGGAGTCAAGTCCACCAGAAAAGTCTGCTCCACTCTCCAGTGTGCTCCCAACATCTGGTCTGCCAGAGTCCATGACAGTTGGTGAGTGTATGTGTATGTGTGTGTGGGTGTTTTTTTGTTTTTTTTTCTCTCTGTCTGCATGTCGCTTTTCTTGTTCTGTGTGTTTTTTAAACCTGCTCACAGTGCATATCATCCTGCTGAATGTGAGCCAGTTTTAAAACAGCTGAACTGTGTTTTTTTTCCTTTTTTCCCCCTTTTTTCCTCCACCCTTTTTTCTTTGACTAGTCTTCACTCCGTGCGGGTGGGTCGCCCAGTGAAATGGTCAACGTGATGGTATTTCCAAACAAAAACACTTATGTTTGAGATCCTTTATTTGTTTGGATTCTTCTACTTCTAGCTCTTGCCTGCAGTGAGATGAATCAAACTTGATTATTGTTTCTATGCATCAGTGTTTTCCTTTCACAGACACAGTGATCGGTAATTGCTGCGAGCGAAGGCATGTGCCAAGAAATTCTTCATATTATTTTCTGATATCTCCAGTTTGTCAAGTGATTCAGCAGGTGGCACTGTTGGTCCAGCATGGGAACACGTTAATAGATTTACTGGATGCTTGTATGGACTCTGTTGCTCGTTTTCAGGGTTTTGATGGTGGACACACCAAAAAACAAAACAAAACAAAAAATGAATATTGCGAATGCCTTCTCTTCACATCTGATTTGTGAGTTTGACCCGCTCGCGCTCTTTTTCTGGAGAGATAATCAGAGCTTTGAACCCCATAGCCTTTCAGATGGGTGCAGTTTAATTGTTTTTCACTTTTTTTGTGTATGAGAAACTCAGAGCCGAGGAAAGAACGGCGAACAAAGCTGCTCGTATGCCGGTCTGTTACCACTAGATAAGAGCTGGGTCACAGGGTCAGAGAGTGAGAAGAGTGGAGATCTAAAAGGCGGCTGCAATGGCTACAAGTGGAAGAATACTCTGTGAAACCATAGAAAGTCAGAAAAACGTGGTAAACAAGGAAGTTTGAGTCGAGAGTAAAGCTGCCGGAAGCACAGTAACCGCACATTTTTGTGTCTCTGAGCTAAAGGGCAAGAGAGTAAATTTCTCCCAGCTCACTCGCATCACTCGGGGTGAAATCCAACCAGAGATGCCAGGCTCGGTTCAGTGGACCACCATGCAGCATACCTGAAGCAGATTTTACATGTCTGTCTCCTTCTCCTCCCCTTTCTATCACAGCATTGCCATTGCTCCAAACTGCCTGCTCCCCTAAACCGAAACAGTCATTCTCTGGGGATTTGAGCACAGTTCCTCTGGGAAACGTTGAAAATCACAGCAGAAAAAGAAAAGATAATCTGATTCGAAAGGGGGGTGAAAAAAAGACCTGCAATGTGCTTAAAACGACAGATTGATAAAGCATTGACATTTAGTTGTACATTTAGTTGTATTATTTTTTTATTATACCATTCCTCGCTAATATGCGCTGCCTTTATCTTCACGAGGGTGAAGATTAAAGGAGCACTTTATCAGTATAATATATTAAACACAATCTACTTCCTCGGAGGAGCACTGATAGTCGCTTTACCTAAAAAAAAATTCATGCCCCAAAACGTACATAGACTTTACTTATTGAGTCTGGAGATTAAAAAAGAGCAGATAAACTGCAGCTGATTGACACGCACTTGTTAAAATCACCTGGAAGAGGAAGATGTTAAACATTTATTTGCAATCTGTGTACGTCCGGCGCCTCAGCAGGAAGAGCTTAAGGCTCTGTTTGCTCCTTCCATGCTTTCGAGGGTTCCAGTCTACAGAGAGACAGGCTTGCACACTTTTATATTGAACGGGAAATTGCCTTGAATTCCACTCACACACCTACGTGTGGTTCGAGCTTATTTTTTCCCTTCTTTTTTTCAATATAAAGCTGCTTGGGGTCAAAATGGCGTGAGAGAAGTAGTAGTGTACAGCAGGAGCTCTAGCTTCAGTGATTTCCTTTCTGATTCGACAGCATGTGAAGACAAGCAGCCGATTGATTGGAGAGTACAGAGTCTGTGATTCACAAGGTGGTGATTACATGACCCAGCTCTCTGCTAATGCACCTATTATTGGAGCTCTTGAGCACGAGCGTCTGTGTTCTGGTGACGGCAAATGTGTGCCGTCAACGTCTCACAGAAACAGCCTTTTTCCCCCCTCCTCTAGAAGGTGGGTCTTAAACATAGGAGCGCAAAGTTGAAGGTATACGTGTTCGCACACACACACACACGCTCGCATCCGCTCACTTGAGCTGTAATTCGCTCACATCTCCGTGTAAGGATGGAGGGGCGTCTGGTTGCAAGTCCCTAATGGCTCCTCTGTGGCACCCACTGTGAACGCGTGGTCGGACTAAAGGTCATATTTATTTCTGGCCTGCTGGTGTGGAGAAAGTAGCGGCAGAGATAATAGACCTCCTCTTTTGTCCTCTCTGCCACACTCTTCATCACACGCCTCCCCAAAAAAAGAAAAAAAAGAAAAAAAGAAAAAAGGCTCTTAGCTTGGGGCAGGAGGAGACCTACCTGTATCTGGGGCCACATCGACACCCCACTGAAAAAAATGAAAAAGGAGCTGTGGTCTCTGCACATCTGCGGGAAGGCAAGGTGCAGGGTAGATAAACTGCTTGTCTCACGGTTGGTATTTCTGGAAGTCTCGGTAACACCCGGGCGAGCGGCTCTGCAACCCTCATGTGAACCTCCGGGCACACTGTATCCGTGGAGATGAGTCACAGCGCCGCCGAACAGCTCGGCCCAAATCTATCCTTTATGTCAGGATGGAGATTAACATCGCCCAGCTATTTTTTTTTATTTTTTCTAACTGCTCGTGAACTGATGCTTCAAGCCTGGAAAAAAAAAAAAATTAAATCCAAATTAATCCTGCCGCTTCAGTGAAATATTTTTACCTGTCAGTTATAACCCCTGTGAGCTGATTCTTCCATGAAGTTATTTTTCAACATGGTTTTACTAAACTTATTGAAATACACCTGCTGTTTTTTCCTTTTTCTTCCTGGTGCTGCCCGACATCCTGAAATGACAGAGGCTGCTTGGATTGCAGGAAAATGTGGCGAGCACGTCCACGTCCTCTCCCACTGGAAAATAATGTAATAGCTTTGGTGGTCCCCGAACACTTTGCCTTGCGTCAGGTCAAGTGTTTAATTTGGAATCAAACTGCTGATGTCTTGCGACGAGAAGTAGGGAACTGAATCTGAAAAACTCAGCATTTCGCTCTTGTCAGAGCGGAAAGGCACACAGGATTCATTAACATATTTAAAAAAATTCTCCAGACATTCATATTTATGGTGTGCATATCACTTCATGGTATGAGGGTTTTTTCACAACCCCACAGAACTTTTTTGTCACTTCAGCTGGTCACTTATCTGGGTTTTGGGCTACATGTTACAAAGCTGCATGTTTTCTTATTCTAATGGTAGTTGTAATTTAGATTAAGCTGCAAATCCCAAAGAGAGTCAGAAGAAAATCGCAAACCTTGAAATTTGTTTTTCTAATGAATTTAGCACATTGATGTGTTCAGTTGAGCAGGAACCGACTGTCAGGGCGAGCTGGCTCAAATTCCGTAGTTGTTATGATTTGAATTTTTTTGCAGATACTTAATTTGGATTTTTCTAAGATGAGAATTCGTCCAGTTTGGAGTCTCAACACTTCAAATCATTCCCTGAAGAGCCGGGAGAAACCCTGGTTATTACAGGGGATGAGACAAAAGAATATCATTGATCCCATCTCAGTTTTGTGTGAGGGCTGCAGGTGCAGTTTCTGGACTGTAAAGCAATAAGTCATTATAGCGTGTACTGTATGGATCTGAAGTCTCGTCTGATTCTGGCCTCTGCTCTTTTCAGTGGAGCTGCGGCAGGCCATTGTAGCCATGATGAACAGGAAAGACGAGCTGGAGGAACAGAACACGTACGGTCCCAAAAACACACGCTTCAACTTGAACTGGATTAATAAATCAAATCGTTGCTATCATAGAAATTCCACAATATTATTGCTGTTTTATTTTTTTTAAAATGATATCTCAAGCATCCAGAGATTAAAATTTTCACTGATTTGAAAAAGAAAAAAAGTGTAAAATCAGTTTAATTGCATTTCTGTTGGAATAAGAGAAGAATTTAGCATTATGAATGCACCTATGCAGTTACCCAGGCTTAATGTGCATCTTCTGCCAAGCTGTATTTATATCTTAGGGAATTAAAGCAGATACAGCCACAGATTTGTGTTGATTGAATGTTTTATATCAGAGCTAAATGTGATTCAGCCTCCCAGTTAGCGCTGCTATTAAAGTGTCATTTATCTAATCTGTTGTTTACGAAAATAACATCACCAGAATGCCAAAACTGAGTTGAGGATTAAATCTAAAGGAAAACAGGTTTCTCTTGAATGAGATATAAGTGGGTGTTTCTTTATTAACTTGATCCATAGGTCTCTCCGGAGTCTTTTGGATGGAGAGATGGAGCACTCAGCCGGCCTAAGGCAGGAGACTGATTTGCTGAAGAAAAAGCTAGCTGAGCTGGAGGAGAGAAATGGAGCCAAAGTCCAAGCGTTGGCCAGGTAAGATACAGCCAGGAGCTGCTCTCACTTCACACTTACTGTAATTCTGCTTGTAAATTTGAAAGGTTTAAACTGCATTTGCCTAGTTAAGGTTCAGACTGACATTTCTGCTCTGCTTTGAAGAAAAAAGAGAATGAAATGTCAGTGATTTTTAACAACCGTGTGTGCTGCAGGGAGGGGGATTAGAATTTCTGTCACAGTGTGTATAAGATACTACAACCAGTTGGAAAGTTTAAAAAAAAGGCACTTTTTTGGCAAATCTTAATATCACAAAGTCAACTTTGGGCACCATGCTTGGTCGAGCATCCTTCTATAGTCATTTCAAACTGTGTTTTTGGAAATGGTTAATGGTTTTTTTGTCTTTTGTCCCTTTTTCTATTGTAAATGAATTTAGAAAATTGAATATTGATGTCTGTTAAGCATCATTCCTGTGCGAAAGCTGATCCAGAAATAAAATAAAAAGTTTTCAGTAATTTATCTTACTTTTGGGTATCAGTTTGGTGGCATCCAGTTGGTTCCAAGTTCTTTCTGCTAATTGAAAATGAGCAAAACTGAGCACGAAAAAAACCCTAAAACAAAAACATCTCCGGCAACAGAAGAGCAAGGAGCCTTGCAGCAGATGGTCTGTCCCCCACAGAGCCCTGTCTTCAGAACCATGGAGTTAGACTGGGATTACATGGCTGTCTAGAAGGCATATGGTGATCACAGAAATACTGCATGGATTTTGGGTCTCTCTTATCACTGCACCGAACGCCACTCATACTGGTGGACTTTTCTTATGCCAATGCGACATTGCACGGCATTCCTGGAAAGCCGTTCATCTTTAGGCAAATGTTAGATATTTTTCTTTCCAATTTACAGAACTGCAAAGCAACATACAAAGAAAAAAGGCCCTTGGAAAACGGTGTATGGCGATTCTTACATTGGCGTTTGGGAAGTTGTGGGCTGTGTCATGTCGATCTGTGAGTGGAGGCCTTCCATTCTAACGTTAAATGTGGATGGATGGGTGAGTGGCGGGTCTTGTTGTGTATCAGAGTTTTGCGTGTGAGTAAGTCAGCAAGTGAGCAGCGGCTCATTTTAGCCTTCTCCCGTCTGCCGGTGCCTGCGTCAGCCGGAATCTATCTATGGAGGCTCGCTCATCCTCTGCCACCCCCATACACAATCAGGCTCCAGACGCACACACACACACACACACACACACACTCGCCTTGTGTATGTATGCCACTTCCTTGGATTTAGCTGTGGCTCTACTATAAAAGTACAATCACAAGGAGAAGCTCTAAAATAAGCAGATGACTGATGGCATATTCCTCTAACTGCAGGACCATCTGGTGCCAGAGATAAACATTTAAACTCCAGCTTTTCTGCTGGCAGCAAAGTGATCCCTGTCAGAGCCAGAGCACGTCGTACGACTGGTCCCGGTGAACTCTGCAGCCGTTAAGTTCGTTGTCAGTCAACGAACAAACTTGTCAGTCCACTCAGGACCTGAGAACTGGCACCAGCTTCGCGCGACACTGAGGTACTGAGAAATGAACTCCCGTGGAATTGGAGCATGGCCGCTAGTGGCCTCTTTCACTGAATGATGTGGACAGCTTTCAGCTCTCATTCAGCAGCTTGCTGCTCCTTCAGGGAGTATTTATAGCCGCTATTGATCGAGACGGCTTTGGCTAAGAAGGAAAGGCGGCCCCTTGAGATTTAGCAGCAGACTACAAAATAGGACGTGCTCGATTGTGCTAAAATTCCCACTTGGTGCCACGGTCAGCAACAAAGACAGTGGTGAGGCCATCTCTTACTAGCTGAGTATTGCCTCTAAGCCTTCATATACGCTCCCATTACAAAGAACATCCAACGGCTGCAGCACCATCCTTTGCAAATAACAGTCAGGTTTGGCGCTCTCTACATGCTTAATGTGAGTCAGTGATCAATCCTAGATAGTTGCTTGACTTCCTGTAGGAGGCTACTATGTGAACACGGACTGTTTAGGCTGCTGAGCGATGACTAATCGTCCATCTAAAGAGCTCAGGGATTGACTGAAGACTCGGGGCGCGCGGCCAATATTCTGTCGAAGCCGAGGTGACGCAGTCCACTTTCAGGAAAACCGCAGGTGGTTAATGACTCGGATAAAGCCAAGCATTTATGGACTATGCAAGGCAAAGCAAAACGATAAACATGAATAGGAGTTTCCTATGTTGTTCCGATATGAATCCTCCTGAATTTACTGAGCCTGCTAGTGGATTACACTACATATACAGATTTGAAATTGATATTAGCACAAATATGGTTGAGTTTCCTGCTTGAGTAAAGCTCCCGGCTTTAGGTGGTGCAGCGATAATTACTGTGATTATCTGTAAAATAGTAGCACAGCTGCAGTAGGTATGAGGCCCAATCAGCAACAACAAGCCAGCTTTAATAATAGACAAGAACGTGCTCAGAGATGTAGCAGCTCTCACCCAATGTTTACTTTAGCTGCGCGGACTGAAAACCTCTTTTTAAATTTGTGAATCGCAGCAACAAACACAGTAATGTTAAAAAATTATAGCAGTCCAATGTGACTAACCAGATTAATCCAGATTTTTCCAAACAATTTACCAGTAGGTGCGGTAGATTCTCAGAAAAACAAGACCCAGCATTCATGATATGCACGGAGCAAGGAGGTGTGTTCTAAAAAAAACAAACACTGTCTGCCATTGTCTTTATGAACTCAAAACTATTTTGCACAAACTATTTTTTTTCTAGGAACTAGCAATCTTGTGAATCACTAAACTAATATTTATTTGTGCAACCAGAGTTTTTTTTAGAACTATTTCACAACTGTGTGACATAAAGTCAACCAACCTGTGGCACCTTTCAGCTGTTACTCCACTCCAAGATTCTTTACTCATTCCACAATTCATTGACATTTTGTGGTTTTGCTTTAGAAACAACAATTTTGATGCCCCTCAATTACATTTTTTGTCATTGTCTATAAACAATATTTGCTAGTTTACAAGGGTGTTTGGGGTCATTGTCACTGATTTCAAGCGCATATCCAATTCGGCATAAGCAACATCACCTCTTCAAGTATTTTTAATTGTGCAAACTGATCTATGATCACTGGTTTGCGATAAATAGGCCTAAAGCCATAGTAGGAGTAACATTCCCATGTCATGATGACCTATAATGTTGTTTCCACAATTCTATTGATGTTTGTAGTTGAGTTGCTGATATTTTTTTCTTCCATAAAGAAAACTTTATAACACTATTAATGTAACTGCACTGATATTAATCTAAATTTTTATAATTATTTTCCCCTCAAATGACATGTCTTTCCTCTTGTGAAAGTCATAATTGAAAGTAATGCAAGCTTATTTGAAGCAACGGCACACAACGGTTTGATTTTAATTTCTTAAGACAACCATTTGGCAAGATAAATCATTTATTTGTGTGTCGTATGAGCCTGAAGATTATGAGCTATGGAGGGTTTACTTAATATCTTGATGTTGTGTTATTACATACGATTGTGTTATTACATACGATTATTTACACACAGAAATAGTATTGATAGTTATTTATTTGTTTTTCCACATGTCAGATTGTGCAGCCTGAGACTTCCATGTAGAAATCATAAGTTGCAAGTGTCTGCGTGCAAAAGCAGAAAATTAGAGTGGCCCAAAAACAAAAACCTTCAAACCTATCTACTGATATAATTTGTAACAAGTGAGTGAAAGACAGAGAACCCCCCCCTGTTTTCTCTATTTACATAATTCTTCCTTTTTGTCACTTCATCTGCCATGTTGGATTGCGCTCATTAGAATTTTTTTATTTTTGCAGAGGGATTTTTCCATATCGAATTATCATGACGAGATTGTTTTTGAATGCCATAGTATCCATTTATCTAAGTTTGGTGTGAAAGATTATTGCCCGAGACTTCGTTTTTCATGAATCCCTCTTTTTTCTAAACATTTTGGATTCACATTCCTTGTTTACAGCTATCCGTACAGATGTTAAAGCTAGAAAAAATATGTACGTGTGGAGTTGTGTGTGCATTCAACCCAACTGTGTCGATAGTTGGATTCAATTGAAGACCAAAAGCTATCATCAAAATGAGACGGTGGGAGCTCTTCCTGAAGATTGAACTGATTTTTATTGTCACTTCAGTCTCATCTGCAGGCATGCTGTTCACCAGTGTGTCTTATGCTGTTGTTGCCCTCACGAGCATTTGAATCTTTTACGTTTGAGGTCAAGTCAGCGAATGAGTTATCCCCACAAACGCTGATCCACAGCTATACTGTTACACAAACTGTGCAGCTTTCATATCTGTATCTTGAAAGCTGTGTTTCACGTGAAAGAAGATCTGCAAATGTTTGCATATCTTATCGTCAGCGTGATCTTAAAGCCGTCACATCATAGGAAGCTCTGTATGCTCCTCTTTTTTTGAGAAATGGGTCGCTAGATCAAAATGTGGAGCGAGGTGAGATGATTATAGATGAGGCCCATATGATTCGCTCTGTAGCATGATCTTATAAAGAAAACCTTAGAATTGACTGTGAGTATATGTCATGCTGCATATAACTGTGGGTTAAAACAAAAACACTGCTGGCTGGCCCTACTTGGAATAAGCACCTATAGAAAACCAGGGAGTGAATGGAAAACAAAATGATCTCTTATTTGTTTGTTCCTTGTACATTTTGAAGGTATCGTCCTAAATATTTGACGGTAGCATGTCATATCTGATCGTGTAGCGTTTCATTTACATACAACTCTGACTGCTAATGGCAATGGTCGTTCACTCACAAAAACGAGGTTACTTTAAAAATAAATGTTTAAACCCAAAATGGCCATCCTCAGACTGTCTAACCCAGAAACTCACTCCTTCGTGGGTAATGGGTGACACACACACAAAGTCAGCTGTCTCTTGTTCCCCTTTTAGACTGCGGTTAGCAGAGCGGACAGCAGGCCCCTCGCAGCAGGACGACGGTTAGTCGAGTGGGCTCGAGCCAGGAAGTGGTCTCTCGTCACGGAGAG